CAAAAATCAAAACGCTGATTCTCACCTGCGTTTTAGCAGCGTTTCATAGCGTTTATAGAAAAAGACCAAAATACCCTTGAAAATAATAAAACCCTAACTCTCTTTTTCTTCTATTCTTCTCCTATTCTTCTCGCATGTCTGTCCGTAGAAAACCTGTGTTCGCATCGAGCCGTCGACCAAGCCTCTAGATCGTCGGAACTTACCGGAGCTCGCCGGAGTTTTCCGGACTTCGTCATCTTCGTCGTCTCTTGGTATGTCTATGTCTCTATTTTATGTTTATCCCCTTTTCTCCTCTGTTTTTTTTTTCCAGATTTCGTTTGAATACTTGGATTTATCATTTCATTTGAAAATCCCAGTCGAGTTCACATAATATACTTTTACACAAAATGGGTTTTGTGGGTTTTGGATTCTTTCCTGGATGTAGCATTTCGTACGTAATGGATTTTAGATTCTGTTTTGGTATGAAATGGGTTTTAGATTCTACTTTGGCCATGAAGTGTGTATTACGTAGTTGAAAATATGGATCTATTTTTTTCTTACCTATGGATTTGATTCCTTGTTTCTCCTGTACCTGAATGCACGTAGCCAAGAAGTGTGATTTATGTTTGTGGGTTTTGTTTTGACTTTTGAGTTTTGAAGGACACTATGGTTGTAGAACTGTGTGATGTCAAATGCAAGTGTTTCTATCACCGTTTCTTTGTGCATTTTTTGTTGATGCTTGAGAAATCTGTACAAAATTGTGTATTTCTAATGATTAATGTTGTTTTGTGAAATGTAATTTTTCTCTCACATTATAAACTTTTATTATGTTCATGGGCCTTCATGAGAATGAAAGTTTACAACTAAATATCAGCTTGGGATTTGAGTTTTGACATTGAAGCGTGTTTTATATTTGTACTCAAGACATTGATGATTTTTTTTTTGTATTATGTTTCAGATTTGAGAAATCTAACGATCAATCGACAAATATGGCATCGGGAAGTGAATCTCATAAGAAGGTAAATACAATTTAAAACCAGAATTTTGTACATATTCATTGATTTTATTTTCTAAGTTTCAACTTTTTGTGATGTTTATATTTTTTTAGAAAATTCTTTGGTCGGATCGGATGACACGTGTTATGCTAGACCTCTATATACTAGAGAAAGAGGCTGGACATACAAAAGGGGGAAATCTAAGTGAGGTTGGAAAGGCGAACATGACTAGAGAGTTTAATAAAATACTTGGAATGAATTTGACTTATGGAAAAATTAAGAATAGGATCGATACTTTGAAAAAAGACTATTACATCTATAGTAAGATCACTCATGGGGCGACTGGTCTTGGATTCGATCCGGTGAATGGAACTCTTCAAGCCCCCGATCATTGGTGGAAAAGCAAAATTCAGGTGGATTTATAAAACAATGTTTTTCTATCAAATATCATTGTTATCGAGTTATTCACAAATTTTTGTTCTTTTTTCTTTTTCAAGGTTTATCCCGAGGCTGAAAAAATCCGAACAAATCCTTTGAAGTTTATACCACTTTTGGATGTGGTTTGTGGGGATGTAACTATAGTAGTTGAGAAATCATGGCAACCACGACGTGGTTTGGACTATCACGCTCCACCTATTCCCATGGAGAATGAAGAAGGTAGCGAAGAGAATGAGATCCCAGCAATGCAAGATTCTACACATGGTCTTGCAGATATACATGAGGCACAATCAATGTCGGAGATGCCAAATTCTTCAAACAGGTCTGATGCTGAGGCACCTATCCGACCATCTAGTGGAGCAAATCTGAATATGGGTCAAAAGAAAAAGCGCAAGCGTACACCAATGGAGACCCCAATCGAACGCATTGCTAGAACCATGGAAGAGCGCAATGTGTACTTGGAGCGATTGACATCGAGGCATGAAGTGCAAGTGCAACAAGGGCCTTCAATTGAAGAACGCATGGCCAATGTTGTGAATGCGATTATGGCTGTACCTGATTTGGTTCCCATGAGTCCTCTCTATTGGGCTTCTCTTAATTTAATAGCGACAAATGAGATAATGCGGGGTGACTTTAAAATGAGATTTATATACACACGTATTGGAGTTCCGGGTCGTGCACACGATACAAAGGTATTAACAGAGTGTGCAAGACACGATGAATTTTTTCCATTTCCGGACTCAGGACAATATTTTCTCGTGGATTCTGGTTATCCTAATCGGAAGGGTTTTCTTGCTCCTTATCAAGGTGAACCGTATCATCCTAATCACTTTTCTGGACGTCGACCAAGAACTATGCGTGAGTTGTTTAACAAGAGACATTCTTCATTGCGTTCGGTAATAGAGAGAACATTTGGAGTTTGGAAAGGCAAATGGACAATCTTGAAGGGTCCCCCTCGGTATAGTATAAACGTACAAGAAAAGATTGTTGCAGCTACCATGGCACTGCATAATTTCATTCGAGATTGTCGTGAAGAAGATATAGATTTCAATGTTGCCGAAACTACTGAAGATTATATTCCCGAACCCACTGGAAACACATCTCCATCACGTTATGATATGGATGATGACCGATTCTATGATGCGACAGCGGATGACTATATGGCAAATGTTAGAGAGGGGATTGCTAAAGAAATATGGGATGCGACGAATTAATATTTTTATTATGTTCTTTTTTTCATTTCAATTGTCTAATACATTACGTTTTATACAAAATATTTTATATATATATATATATATATATTATAGACGACTTGTTTAGTATTATGATTTGAATTTATTTTTTGATATTATATTTTACTAAATTTCATTATCACATGATTATAAATTTTTTAAATTTATCAATAATTATTTTTTATATTTTTATCAAAAATTATTTTTTAATTTAATATAAATTAAATTGATGGAATTTATATTTTAAAATATTTTATATAATTATTTATAAATTATATAAAATATTTTTTATCAAATGATAATATAAAATTAACTGTAATTGATTTAAAAAATTATCTTAAAATCATGTACTTTTTGGTAATTTATATCAAAACGCAACCGCAACTGTGTACAACCATTCACTTCTACTCGCAACCAACCGCAATCGCCACCAACAGTCATTTACAAACCAGTCAGTACCAATCGCCTACAATCGCTAGCAAACACTCTGAAAACGCTATCACCCGCAACCGCAACCGCTGCGGTATAACCAGTCGGGCCCTTATCCTAAATCCGTTTTTCAATTCATTTTTTTTTTTGTGTGAAATTCCATCTCGTTTATTTCCTTATTTGACTGAACCATATATTGACTGATTTTCTTGGTGAAGGGGCAGTGAGTGCCCCTTCTTATGAAAAGTTTTCAATTGAATTATTTTTTTTCAAATTATTTTTTTATATAAAATGTTAGTTATATTAATCACATTTTTGAATTTTTATATACATATATATAAATTATGCAAAAGATAATTCCCATATAGCAACAATCTCTAAAGACAATTAAGGGGGATATTTACGTAAATTAAACTAAATTATATTGTAATTTAATAGAGTTAAACAAATGACCGATTTGATTGCATGTTTTTTTTTCAAATATTTGCGTGTGACTGCTATAATCAGTAACAAGGTTTAAATATTCTTAACCAATTATAATGTCTAATATATTAATGAAGAAGTGTTCCAAATGGCTTTATAAGCGTCATAATAAATTCCAATATTTTCATTATTATTATTGTTACTATTAGTGACTTATTATCATGTCTGATTTGAACATTTTTTTCAAATTTTTTTTTCACTGCTATGGTAATCAATACCATCATTATATAACACCAGTTGTCTCTAATTGCACAGTAGTCATAAAAAAGTGTGACGTTTTACGTAATGTAAATACAAATTATTGCAACTTAATTAAGAGATTAACAAAATCAAAAGACAAGATGACAGTGAATTTCAAGATAATTAAATGCCTTTTTCATGAATTATATATATATTCCTACGAGTATTTAGCCAGTTTGTTCTATTACACTTGTACCAGATGAGGTCGAAATTTAATAAAATCTTTTTAAAAATATAGTTATAAAATTTGGGAATTCTGTAAACTAATATTTTTCTCTAACGTGTTTGATTATTAAATTAAGATAAAGGATATCCAAATATTAATTTATAGTTTATAGATTAAAATATAACTATTCGATAAAAATATCAATTTAATCGAAAAAATAGATTGTTTATGGTATCCATCGTAGTTTATCAAAATAATATCGCAATTTTTAGCATGATAAATTTTTTATAAAAAAAAACATCAAGTTGCCAATTTTCTTGACCCGTGAAAAAACTTTTCCAGCTTGCAGCTGCTCTGATGAGCATCAATATTTTTTTTTAAAAAAAAAAGAAAAAGTCTTTGGTATTGGAATTCGATTTCATACACAAACCTAGTGAAATTAGAATATTCCATAATAATTAAATTTCTTGATTATATATATAAATATATATATGTATATGCTATTTTCAAAACCACAGAAGACTAAATCCGAATTTTAATCCGTTATGATGAATATTTCGTCTCAAAAAACTCTATTTCAACGTCATTATTATACGAATAATCATGAATACAGAAAATTGATTTTTTTCTCATCCAAATATTTGTACAATTAGGAAGAAAATAATGCGTGATTTGCCTTCATTTGAACCACCCACTACTGCAGACTCATGGACTGACCAGCAAATTTATAAAATATTAAATTAAAATAACAACTCTATTACCGCATTAATTACATAGTGAAAACATACATGCGCGTATATATATATATACACACACACGTGCGAACACACCATAACACGGCTAGAAGAAATAGATGTAATCAGTAATTCCCAAGTTGCAGCCCTCTTTATGTTGAATTATTATTATTTTTTAGTAGGAATAAATAAATAAATTATAAAAATTGTGCAAAATAGAGTAGTTTGGTGGATTTGAATTTGTATATTATAATATAAAGTTTTAATTTTTGGTCTCACCCATCTTCGGCGTTCTTTAAAACGAAGCATATCTCATTGGAACACAAAGCCAAACGAGAGCCAACAAAAGGGGAAGAAGAAGACTCAGAGATTCTCTCTCAGAAGCTCCAAAAAAAAAATAAAGGGAGCGGAAAGCAAACATCAATGGCGGTAAAGAAAATATCTTGGAGATCATTCGTGGCTGGGTGTTTCCAAGATCCAAGCTTTGAAAGAAAATCTTTCAAGAAACCCAGAAACGAGGTGAAGAAACAGAGATCGTTTCAGAGGTTGTCGATTCTGGACATAAGCAACCCGAGTTCGACGACCTTGTCTGAAGATCTATCCATCTCTCTCGCCGGTTCAGATCTCCATATTTTCACCCTCTCGGAGCTCAAAATCATCACTCAGAGCTTCTCGTCGAGCAATTTCCTCGGCGAAGGAGGGTTCGGACAGGTCCACAAGGGCTTCATCGACGATAAACTCAGACCTGGTCTCAAGGCTCAGCCTGTCGCTGTGAAGAACCTCGACCCGGACGGTCTTCAGGGTCACAGAGAATGGCTGGTTCGTAGATTCTTCGATTTCGTGTTTTCATGGTGGATTTCGTTGTCGTGAACTCGAGTTCGATCATTGATTTGTTGGTGGGTTTTTTTTTTCAGACAGAGGTGATATGTCTCGGACAATTGAAGCACCCGAATCTGGTGAAGTTGATCGGTTACTGCTGCGAGGAAGAACACAGGCTCCTCGTCTACGAGTTCATGCCTCGTGGAAGTTTAGAGAATCAGCTCTTCAGGCGTGAGTGATCGATCTTTTCTCTCTTCCTCTACATTTTATGGATTTAGATCCAAGAACTAAAAGGGCTTGATCCGAATCGTGGCATGATTCTTCAGGATACTCAGTTTCGCTGCCATGGACGACGAGGATGAAGATCGCGCATGGAGCTGCAAAGGGTCTTCAGTTTCTTCACGAAGCTGAGAAACCCATTATCTATCGCGATTTCAAAGCCTCGAACATCCTGTTAGATTCGGTAATTAAGCACTTAATCACTCTCGATGACGCTAATTAATCCATTTTTATAGCCAGTTCTTACAGTAAACTTATTCAAAACTCTACAGGACTACACGGCAAAACTCTCGGACTTTGGGCTAGCCAAGGACGGGCCGGAAGGAGACGACACGCACGTATCGACCCGAGTCATGGGCACTCAAGGCTATGCGGCTCCAGAATACATCATGACCGGTCACTTGACCGCGAGGAGCGACGTCTACAGCTTCGGCGTCGTGCTTCTCGAACTCTTGACGGGTCGTAGATCGGTGGACAAGAAACGGTCTCAACGGGAACAGAACTTAGTCGACTGGGCTCGCCCAATGCTAAACGACCCGCGAAAGCTTTCGAGGATCACGGACCCTAGGCTCGAGGGCCAGTTCTCGGTGGCCGGTGCTCGAAAGGCCGCGGCTTTGGCTTACAACTGTCTCAGCCACCGACCGAAGAACCGACCCACGATGAGTTCCGTCGTTGCAGTTCTCGACGACGTAAAGGATTACAAAGATATCCCCATGGGACCCTTTGTCTACACCGTGTCTTCCTCGCCGGAGATCGTCGCCGGAAGAGACGTGAAGGAGGAGGAGGAAGGTGGTGGTAATCACAAGAGGAAGAACCCCCGGTCTCCGGCGGATAAGTCTCAGGTGAGCGACGGCGGAGGAAATCACCGGAGAAATTTGAGGAACGGGTTGAGTTCGCCGATTCGTAGTGAGGTTGGTGGTGAACGGTACTGACTGAGTTTTCTTGGGTTGTAAATGTTTTTTTAATGTGAATATTTGTTTTTTTTTTTCAATTTCGGAAATATTTTTTATTTTATATTATTATTATTCAGTTGTTGCTAATGTATTATTTATTATTTGTCTGATCAAATCAAGAAAGCAATACGGTCCAAATTATTGTTATTTTTTCACCGCAACTTTGTAACCAAAGGGTTTCGTCTGATCAAAGACGCGTTTTAGATTACAATTATTTTTGTTTCAGCCCATATATAAATATATACACCATACAGATCACATAAGTATATAGAACATTGTAAATAGTTTATTTATTGAAAATGATCTATATTTGTGAGGACATATACAGCTTGATTGGCCATATATGCGTGTGTGTGTGTGTGTGTGTAAGTTTCCATATCAATTTGTGTTGGGTTAATAATAATTAAGTAATATATGAGTGTTTTAGATTCTAGATATTTATATAAAAATAAAATCTTACCAACTTGATATTGATTGTTTCAAGAGTCATATATGACAGATCAGCCATAGATATGAAAATCATTTGTGTTGTCCATATCTGATCATATAAATGCCTACTTGGCTTCCACTAAGCCAATTTTGTATTCTGTAAAAATCTAGATCATGGATATTTTGATTCCAAAATGCACAAATCCATTTGGATCTAATCAAATATTTTTATCATATATGGATGTACTCTAATTTTAAAATTAACTAAATATCTCTTTTTGAATTAAACTAATCGAACTCAAAACTAAATATAATAAGTATCAAATTATATTGAAACAAAAACGTATTTAAAAATTATTTTTTTTTATAATTAAAATAGAACCAACAAAAGAAAAAATATGGCGTGTCCTAACAAAGGATTGGAAATAATCCTTTTTTAATCCAATAATATACATTCCACTTAAATTCAAAATCAAAATCAAAATCCGATATTAATTGTAAAACTTGATTATGATATTAAATTGGTAATCCATATGACATAAAAAGTTGGAAGCATTGATCCAACGGTGTGTGTGTATATATATATATATATATATATCATATGTCCAAATCTCACGTGTTTGATCCAAATACACAAACTGTGTTCTTAATCAATATCTATAATTTTTAATTTTTTGTTTAATAACGCGCTATCGTTATAACATTCACAAAAACATGTCAAAATATCAAATTCCTCACTAATATCATCCCAAAAATAATGTACAAAAACTTGAAAAACAATGTTAAAAAATGGATAAATATAAACAAAATTTTATTTTAAAAGTATTGGCGGTTTGCCAAAAAAATAAGGAGGTTGTCTAATTCTTTCGTGTCTGGTCAATTTAGAAAAACTATTTTTTAATAATTTGAATATAAAGAAAATATTTGAAATGAAAAACATTACAAGTCAGTTCTATTTCACAACCAATATATTTTTTTTCCTCAAATGATAACGATATTTATGAAGATCTATGCGAAGAGAAATCATATTAGTAACAGATTGTACAGAAAATGAAATTAATACATCACATATATGAATGTAATTATAATAATTGAACACGAAATATCTTACAAATTTAAATTTAACAAAATTAACAGTAATACTCAAAACATTTTGTGCAAAGCACAGTTATAGGTCTAGTACATTACATTGATCGGAGTAATATCATTATCTAAATTAATTTTACTGTTAAACCGAGTTGAACCGGAAAAATAGAAAACCGATTTGAACCGATTAACCGTATACCGAACCGACCGACGTGCGCATAGCCTCGCTGTGGCTTAACAGAGCAACCAACAGGCAAAAAGAGAATTTCTAGGGATTGTTCACCTTCTGCGAGCGACGGCGACAATGGATTCCGATATTACGATGGTTCCCGCTGGCGAAGGCTCTACCGCCGCCGCTTCCTCCTTGCCGTCTTCTTCCACCAAGAAACCGAAACGATTCGAGATCAAAAAGTGGAACGCCGTCGCCCTCTGGGCCTGGGGTACGTTTCACCGAAACCCTAACCGTATCTCTACGTTTTGTTTTTTTGTTTCGTTCCTCGTGGTTTTTCTGGTTTTAAATCGGTGTGAAATCGTGGCTTGATTTGTGTAGATATCGTCGTGGATAACTGCGCGATCTGCAGGAATCATATCATGGATCTATGTAAGTTTGTGATTCCCTACACGGGTTTTGCGATCTGTGGTTCTGTTTTCGTTCGATTGATTTTCCAAAACTAGCGATTAAGAATTTGCGTATTGTATTGTTCTCCTGATCAGGCATCGAGTGCCAGGCGAATCAGGCAAGCGCAACGAGTGAAGAATGTACTGTTGCTTGGGGTAAGGTCCTTAGAACTCTGGCCATTTTGATAACTCGCCAACTGTGGAAGCTAAGTTTGGAGGTTTACCATTCTTCTGAAGAAAATCTGAAGTTTTATCTGCCTCGGGCTTTCTAGATTAGCATCATAGCGTGACAGTAATTCAGAGTTGATCGTAGTAACATTATATAATATATTGGAGTTTGATCATGGAAGGGCCGACTTGGCTCAGCGGTAAAACCATTTACCGTGGGGTGCGTTACTATAAACATTATCATCCAATTTGATACCATTTCTTGCTTCTTTTGATGGGATATTCACATATATTTGTTGCTGAAGACATTAGTTTAAGGTTTAGTGTTTCCGGTATCCTATTTGACTATTTCATTGTCAGCTAGGATTGGTTTCCCTTTTTTTGAAGCTGTTTGAACTTCTTGATCCGATCACTAGGCACATGGATTTGGTAGAAATTGTTATCTTTTCATATCAGTGGCCAGTCTGCTCTGTGGTACATGAAATGTTCGCCTTATTCTTCTACCAAGAATATGGTTTCTGCTTTTGTTTACTATGGTCGTTTATTTCCATGTTGTAGCTGTGATGTGTCGATGCAACGTTGCCTTCTCGAGGACTAAAAAACATCTAAAGACTCACCTATTACATGCATTTGTACTACTATTTCTTTCATAGGTTCAGTTCAGTTTTATTTTTCCTCCTTTGCTGAACTATGATCTGTACAATGCTAAAGATTCCTGCTATTTGCATATGTTATAGGGGTTTGCAATCATGCTTTTCATTTTCACTGCATCAGCCGTTGGCTCAAGACTCGTCAAGTTTGCCCCTTGGGTATGGTTTAGCTTCTCCATTGCCCACCCACACATTTTTTTTGGATTCCTCATTTGAACAGAATGGTTATCTCATGATTATGTTTCCGATGTCGCCTTCTTGTTGCAGATAACAGCGAGTGGGAGTTTCAGAAGTATGGGCATTAATCATTCAGCCGTGAAGAAGGTATCGATCATCTGGTCCTGACTCCTCTCACAATGTTCCATAAAAACCTGTGCCTCCAAGTTTCGTTACTGTTTCCCAAAAAGAAAAAAGAAAAAAACAGGGTGTTTCTAGCAAGGTACACGTACACGAAATAGCTATCTTAATCGAGTCTTGATATTCTCTTCAGGGATCTGGTTTAAACCTGGGGGACTGGGAATTCAGAATGATGTAGAAAAGCAGGCATGCCGGGTTTTGAACCTATTTTGTTGTTGTTTTTGCGGTTTTAGTACAATGGAAATGGAAAGCGTGGGTGTGTGGTTTGGAAACAGTAGTTAAGAGGGTACACAAATGATCTTCGAGATAGAAAACAAGTGGTGAAATGAACTATGGTTTGGCGAAGTTGGTCTCTCTTGGAGGGTTCTGAAACAGAAAAAAGAAGGACCTGCGACGAAACAAACAAGCGTAAATCGTATAAATTTGTTTGAGTCTTGCCCTTAAGTTTCTGGCTGTGTTTGGACATGCGTTGGGCAGTCGGAGCGCAAAATATGACAGGGACTCTTTGGGTGGCGAGAAATAGGGTTAGGTGCCCGATTCTTTAAGCGTATCCTATCTTGGTTTTGTTAGGTTCGGGTATTCGAACTCGAAATCATAACGAACCAGAGAGATGAGAGAGTACGATCGATGGATGGACCATCCAGGTGCGAGACCGTAGATAGACGGACGGTGCAATTGAGTGTAAGATTGAGATGTTCGATCAAAAGTTGCAACGATGCGTGCCGTGATGTCAAGTCGAGTCCTTGAGAGTAAAAAAAAAAATCCCACTTAAAATACATTTTTTCGTTTTTGCGCTCGCAACGAGGGATGAGGCGATGAGCGTTTTAGTTGTTAACCCAATAATCCAACCGGATAAAATATAATTGTAATTGAATCGAATTCAATATAGTTATGATTTTTTAAAACATGAACCGGATAAAATATAATTGTATAGTTATGATTTTTTAAAACGTCCGAAATTTAAAAAATGGAATGGTTATAATTTCCCAAGCCCAAAATACCCAACCCAACAATAATGGGCCTATCTTTCCATGTTTTAGGATCTCATGTAACGTAAATTTCTTTGAGTCCTGCCCTCAAGTACATAGAACTTTGGAAAAAACTTGGATATGAAATCCCAAATTTGTTAAGCCACGGATCCTCGGGAGTAAAAATAATTCAACTTTAGTCTAAGCTTGAGGAGGATAAATTGTAATCGATATTTGTTCGTCGGTTTGGCCAGAGATTGTGGTTTAGAGGTACGACTATCGGTTTTGATGGCTAAGTTTTAGGGTTTTTAGACTCGGATGCATATATTTATCTATTTGTCTCCATGAAAAAGCTCCCCATTATATTTGATTAAATTATCCAAAGTGCCCTTTTCTTGCACCATCCCCACAAAATTCACTATTTACCCCATTCTCCCCACAAATCTCATATATCAATGATACAACCTCTTCAGATACATTTTTTTTTTTGGTTTTATGCCGGTGGCCAATTGGTCATTAATTGAATAAACGAATCAAATCGAACTAGATAAAATATAACCGTAATCGAATTGAATCCATCATAAAAATCGAATGGTTATGATTTCTCTAAATTTGAACGAACCAAAATCGAATCAAACTGATTAAAAAAGATAACCGCAAAAACTGATTTTTTTTTAAAAAAAATAAGTTTTTTACAATATAAAAAATCCTAACTGAACCAATTCGAATTTTATATAAAATCGAATAGTTAGAATTTTTCTATAACCGAAATAATCGAATCCGGATATAAAAGAAATGAAACCGAAATGATCACTCTACTAACAATAATGGACCTATCTTTCCAAAATAGAAATAAGACGATCTATTGTAGGATCTTATGTAATTTGTGATATGACCGACCTCAAATGAATTTGAGAATGAGAAGACGTTGTTGTTATTGCATGTAATTTGTGACCTAACTCAATTATGTGTGCACTCACTTTTATTGCATAATCATTGAACATGTACTCATCATCCCATGAGGTATAGATAAATATCTAAATTTTGATATCCAACCCATAATATTCAATTTTTGGTTTAATAACCGGGTTCTAATAGCTCATATATGTTTTAAGAAAAAGCTTATTCTTAAACTAAAACTAAAACTAAAACTAAAAACCCCACGTGATGATAAGCAAGAGATTAAAAAGGAAAAAACAGACCATGCTAACAAAAGATACTAACTACAAAGAAGTTTGAATAAGCCGCGAAAGCTGGGGGAGAAAAAAAACTGGTAAATAAGAGAAAAAAAAATCATGGGCCATTATTGAATTTCAAAAGACAAAAAAAGGCGCAGAGAAAAAGAAAAAGGGACGCGTGAACACGCGCTTTTGTCCCTTTTCCTTTTTAAAATTGATTTTGATTAAGAGAGAGAAAATACCGAGATATTTTTATTTTTGATAAGAGTTCGGTTCGATTGTATTCGGGTTATTTATTTTGATTATAGAAAAATTATAATCATTTTATTTTTATATCAATTTTGATTTTCGATTCTGTTCAATTTGGATTGGTTCAGTTTTTTTAGCAAAAATTTTATTTTTCAAAGGAATTTTTAATTTTGATTTTTATTTTTATTCGGTTCAATTCAGATACAATTATTTTGGATTTAGAGAAATTATAATCATTCAATTTTTATATCGAATTCGATTCGATCATAGTTATATCTTATTGGATTTGGGTTGGTTAGCTTATTCGGTAACTAAAATGGTCATTTCTCGTTTTTTAGGATTTGTTTTTTTGGTTGAATATTTGTTTTATATATGAAACACATAAATATGAAACACAAATCAAATCACATAAATAACTGATAATTATATATGAATTATTTTGACTAAAAACTAATTGATTATTATTTTATAAATGAATATAAAAATAAAATTTTTAAACTAATTTATATAAAATAATTTAAAATAATATTTTTTGTTGATAAAAATAGAATTCATATAAAAACTAAGTAAAATACAAAAATGAAATCAAATTATAATAGATATTTAAAAAAAATAAAGAGACATTAAATATTTCGCTTTCAGACAACAAAGGACGACGAAAGGGATGGCATATGGAAATCTATCCGTTACCACTGTTGTTGCCTTGGCTTGGACCCTCTCTACCACCATTAAATATTTATGTTAATTCATCACATACATATACCATTCTATTTTCCTTTTGGAATATATATTACATTTGAAATATGTAATAATATATATATTTTTTATTTAAGATATACACCTCTATTTAAAAATTTTATTTAATATTTCGATTATTTTAACATCGAATTTAAAATTTACAAATTTTATATTAATACAATTTTACATTTGCGTTGAACGGCGGAAAAGAGCACCGACGGTGGCATTTTCCGTAAATAAAAGCCGAACGTGTAGCAAATATTTCGAATTTAAAAATAAAAAGCCCTTCCACACTTTCCTCTGTCACTGCTCTCCTTCATCCTCATCCTCTCTCTCTCTCTCTCTCTCTCTCTCTCTCTCTCTCTCTCTCTCTCTCTCTCTTCATGGGTTCTTTCTCCGTCGCTCTCTGCTTTGCTGCTCTCCTCCTCCTCCATGCGGTGGCCGGAGCCGGCAGACGGACCTACATCGTCCGCATGAACCACAACGAGAAGCCCGAGTCCTTCTCCACCCACCATGACTGGTACTCTTCTCATCTCCACTCTCTCTCTTCATCCTCCTCCTCCGGAGATGACGAATCTTCTCTTCTCTACACTTACACCTCCGCATTCCATGGCTTCTCCGCCGTTCTCGACCCGGATGAGGCCGAGGCGCTCCGCCGATCGGACCCGGTTCTCGATGTGTTCGAAGAGACTGTGTACTCGCTTCACACAACTCGAACTCCCGAGTTTCTGGGTCTCAACTCGGAGTTCGGGTCGTGGGCAGGGTACGGTGCCCAGGATCTCAATCAGGCCTCGTATGGTGTTGTCATTGGGGTTTTGGATACCGGAGTTTGGCCAGAATCTAGGAGTTTTGATGACACGGGTATGCCGGAGATCCCGGCGAAATGGCGAGGGGAGTGTGAATCGGGTCCCGATTTCGATCCGAAACTGTGTAACAAGAAGCTAATCGGAGCTCGAAGCTTCTCCAAAGGGTTTCAAATGGCTTCCGGAGGCGGATTCTCTAACAAGCGTGAGTCTGTGTCCCCACGCGACGTCGATGGTCATGGAACCCACACCTCCTCCACTGCCGCCGGATCCGCCGTGAGGAACGCGAGCTTCCTCGGCTATGCCACCGGGACGGCTCGTGGGATGGCAACTAGGTCGCGCGTGGCGACGTACAAGGTGTGTTGGAGCACTGGTTGCTTCGGATCTGACATCCTCGCCGGCATGGACCGCGCAATCCTTGACGGCGTCGACGTGCTCTCACTCTCCCTCGGCGGCGGATCCGCTCCGTACTATAGAGACACCATCGCCATCGGAGCTTTCTCGGCCATGGAAAAGGGCATCTTCGTCTCTTGCTCTGCCGGCAATAGCGGACCCACCAAGGCCTCCATCGCGAACGTCGCGCCATGGATAATGACCGTCGGCGCCGGAACCCTAGACCGCGATTTCCCGGCGTACGCCGTTCTCGACAACGGAGACCGAATCAAAGGAGTTTCTCTCTACAGCGGTGAAGGAATGGGGACCAAACCCTTGGCTCTGGTCTACAACAAAGGTAACAGCAGCTCGAGCAATCTATGCCTCCCTGGTTCGCTCGACCCGACGCTCGTACGTGGCAAGATCGTGGTCTGCGACAGGGGACTGAACGCTCGTGTAGAGAAAGGAGCCGTCGTTAGAGACGCCGGAGGAGCCGGGATGATACTTGCGAACACGGCGGCGAGCGGCGAAGAGCTCGTCGCCGACAGCCATCTGTTACCGGCGATGGCGGTCGGCAGGAAGATAGGAGATCTGATAAGGGAGTACATGAAGTCCAGCAAGAACCCGACGGCGGTTCTGGTTTTCAGGGGAACAGTGCTGGGAGTCCGACCATCGCCGGTGGTGGCGGCGTTCAGTTCGAGAGGGCCGAACATGGTGACGCCACAGATCTTGAAGCCTGACGTCATCGGTCCCGGAGTCAACATCTTGGCCGGGTGGTCGGAGGCCGTGGGACCCACCGGTCAAGAGAAGGACACGAGGAGGACTCAGTTCAACATCATGTCAGGTACTCCTTTCAACGTTCTTTTCATCGATGCATTAAACCTAAACGCATTAATAGTTCTTCTTGACTACTTGTGCTCTGCTCATGGAGTCTTCAAGATTCAAATGTTTTCTATGTTTTTAATCAAACACGTGAAGATGGGTACTCATTAAATGTTTCCAAAGTTGCTACTTTTGGAAACTGTTGCGCTGCATTCATTGGAAAGTTGCTAATTTTGGAAATATTTTACTGTATTCTGGTTCCAGAATCTCTCAGATTAAGCTTTGCAAGTTAGAAAACTTGAGAAAAGGGTCTGACCAAATCTCTCCATAGTAATTTTATTTAACTTGAAAGTATCATAACCTTACAAAATCAGGGATCTTTTGAATATAATTTCACATGTTGCGATTTTGCTAATGGAATCTTGTGGTGTTCTGTTCATCCATGAAGGCACTTCTATGTCATGCCCACACATCAGTGGCTTAGCCGCCTTTCTGAAAGCTGCCCACCCTGAATGGAGCCCTAGCGCCATCAAGTCTGCGCTCATGACCACAGCCTACAACCTCGACAACACCAACTCGCCTCTTCGTGATGCCGCCGACAACAGCCTCTCGAACCCGTGGGCTCATGGCTCGGGTCACGTGGATCCTAAGAAGGCTCTCTCTCCAGGCCTAGTTTACGACATCTCCACGGAGGAATACATTAGGTTCTTGTGCTCGTTGGACTATACCCTCAATCACATCCAGGCTATCATCAAGCGTCCAAACGTAAATTGCTCGAGGAAATTCTCCGACCCTGGTCAGCTTAACTACCCGAGTTTCTCGGTTTTGTTTCGGGACAAAAGGGTTGTCAGGTACACAAGGGAGCTGACCAATGTTGGTGCACCTGGTTCGGTTTACAAGGTGACAGTTGATGTGTCGGTTAGCGTTTCGGTAACGGTTAGACCGAAAAGGCTCGTGTTTAGAACTGCGGGAGAGAAGAAAAGGTACACGGTAACGTTCTCGGCCAAGAGGGGAGTGAGTGGTGCAACTGCCGAATTCGGATCTATCACTTGGAGCAATTCGCAGCATCAAGTGAGGAGTCCTGTGGCATTTTCTTGGACACGGTTTTGAGGGAAGACAGATCTAACATATCCGTTCTGTGGTGTTCTGGTTCGAGATGGGTAACTGACCAAGCCTTGTTCATCGGCCTTAAGCAGTTCAAGACGGGCGTTTCAGAGATCGCATCCCAAGAAGTTGGGAGGATCCGGTAATAGAATTTGTATCTGTCGGAAAGCATTTCCTTTGATTTTCCAAACACTAATGTACGAGAATTTGTACTTGTCAGAACGTGTAATGCCAAGTCCATTTGATTCATCAAGAATATACTGCAATAGAATTATTATGAAAACCTAATTGGCTAATATAAAAAAACAAAAAATCAAATCCAAACAACATTTAAAACGAACCTTAATGGCAATCAGACCGAAACCGAAATATCCAAATTCTTTTCAGCTAACTGATTCTTTGCGGAATATCAATTAAAAACAGAATAACCAGAGATTGCATACCACTGGAGAGATGGAATATGACCTTAACCAAAACAAGTTCTCTGCCCCATCAATCTTTCTTGCATATGATAAAGAAGACGAAAATGTCCGAAATGATCTTAAGCATACGTGATCAGGGCTATGTCCGGAACACAGATTTCTCAAACTATTAATCGAACCCGGAACATAGTTTTTTAATGGGGGAATACACTTATCAGTCTCGCTCACTAATGGCGGTCAAGTGCTCGTCGATCTCCTCAGTCGTCAATGCACGGAAGACAGGACTATCCGCTCTTACAACTCCAACCTACCAAGCCACAACAAGGGTCGGTTTACAGAAGGAGATACGGATGATACACATGTTGTCATTCACAAACACTGTACATCGAGCATCCAAACGAAACACTTGTCGCTGAAGAAGATGTTTAGCTAAACAGTTACCACTTTCGTGCTAAACATAAACAACGAAGGGCGCATAGGTGAAGAGTGGAGAATGGATACCTCAATTTCGGTAGCCTTGAAGTCTTCTTGAAGAACGGATTGCAGAGCAGAAATTGCAGTCTGGAAAAGCACAGGAGCGAAAAAGTGAATAACCATGTACAAAACCGGAAAAGCAAATAGTTTCTCTATAGACCCGTCAAGCTAACATTTTGATATAACTTGATAGTCCACTATTGAATCTATGTTATGCACATTGAATTGACAAGCTAAAAACAGGAGGATAGGCCATAAGTACCTGCACTGTTTCATCATATGTGAAAGCAGGGTTCTCTTTCATTTTCTTCTCCAAGAAATTGATTGCTTCTTGCTCCTTCATTCCAACGCTCGTTGCCTGCATGATATCTCTTCTCAATTAGTTGCTAAAGAACATATGAAAGCCATCTCCGAATTCAGGAAGCAAAGAAATCACAGATGCGATTAAGTAAGCTCATGTCCCGAGAATAGCTGTTCACTTTAACAGCATGTAGAATTGGTGAGTAAATGGCTTTCGAAGCAACATCTCTCGCATGTATGTAATTACATAGTAAAGATTGGTTGATGTATCACTTTTTATTCAATTTCATGGTGAAGCCAACAGATTGCAATGAACAAAACGAGCCCCAAAAAAAGGTAACGGCTTACTCCTGATTATTCCAAATAACTAATATAATTATGTAAAAAGAATGACTGAGAAAAAGTAAGACTCGTACATATTCTCTATGAAGAGTTGGCCCAGACAACATCGGTTTAGAACCAAAATGCAAAACTAATACAAAATGGTAATAAAAAGTTTCCGCACAGATTGTAGCCTGAAATAGTCTATTTCTTCTAAGTTTCAATACCGTGTTCTTTAAGACCAAGAGGAAAGTGGACATTTATCAATAACGTTTGTGCAGCCAACATAAGAAGGTAAAAACTATAAGCACATGAGAAGATGCAAGGCGGAAGATAAATTAGCCATAGCACTAAATGCACCATTACCTTGTGACCGTAAAAATGTCCAGCCGGATCACACTTGTAAAGAAGAGGTCCTTTCTCTTCATCAATACCCAAAACCATGGCAACTTCACAAACAGAAATGGAACGAGAATGATGCTTCAGTCAACTAATAACATAGATCTAAATGCCGAACATCAAAATCCAAGCACAACATGGCAAAAAAACCCCAAAAGAACAGTTACACATGACACATGTATAGGTAGATATGCATAAGATAAAAGATGAAATGGCAAACACACCGACTCCAAGGGGTCTCATATAAGCGTGTTGAGTGTAGACCTGTGACTTATCAGCAATCCTGTCAGCCACATACTTTATCAGTAACAGAAGCTGATAGGCGATAGGTTGATAGAAAATAACTAAGAGCCAGTAAAAAGATGATATATAAGACCAAGACCACCAAGTTTATCCACATAAGTATACCACTTAGCAAGAATATCAACGGGCATCTCATATCCATATCGGAATCGAAAATCAGCAGCCTCATTCCTAGCTTGTTGAACCAAGGACCTCGCATCGGCTGGAATTCCATCCAAAAGTAAATGACTTCAGAAACATCCATTGCAACATAATACATGCAACTAGATAATACGTGTTTGTGTTCGTCGAATCTGACGAGCTTCACAGATTTGTTCACAACATAGAGAAACAAAGGGTGAAGCATACAGACCTGTCATGCCAGTGGCTAACAATCCGAGGTACTTGGTGATTGGGAACAAATGAGTGACACTAGACTGGTCTAAGAGCTTGTCCTGTAGAGTTATAAAACATGAGACTTGCATAACTTAAACCCTGTCGGATAGAAGAGGCAAAACCCCCAAATTCACCAAACCCTAACTCTTAGAAATGTACAAGATCTCAAGTAATTCGGTACACATCAAAACCATCGCTTGAGCCAAACCCTTAATCGCTGAGAAGAATAGAACCCACATTTTCCAGAACTTTTAGTCGAACAGTTCTAAATGCAGGAAACCCCAAAGTAAACAAAATCCTCAATTTACAAATTTGACCCATAAAACAAGCAGATTCAAGTTTTGCATCCGAACGAGAAACCCCAAGGTTATCGAATCGAAGAATGAGGACTCACCGGGACTTTCTTCTGGGTGACGACGCAAACTGAATCCTTCCCTCGAACACCGATCGAAGTGATACCAGCTGCTTTCACCGCCTTGAAGGCATATTCTGCGCGATTTTCATCGAGGGCACATCAGTTTGATCGGCTAGAAAACGCGAGAAAGGACATTTCTCGGACCAGAAACAGATTCTGAAAGAACAAGTTGAGGGAGAACGAAGAAAGGATCGATTACTGACCCACTTGAAAGAGACGACCCTCCGGAGAGAAGATAGTGATGTGGCGATCGTACCCACCGCCGCTTCCTCTGCTCATCTTCTCTGTGTTTCGGACGATTCAATCAGAAAGAAACCCTTTTCTTAGTTCTTCTGAATCGGACTTCGAGCTTTTGCCCTGTGATCTATATCAAGGAAAACGGGAAGGAAGCTTTGTCTCCAAGACAGAACAAAATGCGAGGCGAAAATATAATATATCCAACCCTTTACTCCCCAAAGTATGACTTAATTACAGTTTTGCCACTCCTATCTTGGTATATTGATTTGGTCTCTCCTAAACCGGCTTGGCCCGGTTTTGTCTGATAGTGTTGAAATGAGAAACCCATAAAAATGGAAAGTCAAAACCCCACATGGGGTATATACATTAGGATGATATTAGTTAATCTATCATGTGGGAGATATGCTCGAGATGGTACCAATCTTCAAGCGGTGATGGTTGGTTTGTCGGGCGATCTCTTCGTAATACCAGCATCGTAGTTCTGATTGATCTGTCGATCTTTTGGCGTAAAGCCTCGGGAGATTTCTGCATCCTCTGGAATATCCTATTATTCCGTTTTTTCCCGATGACCTCTATCGTTGCCTGAAGTAGGCATTTGGCAAGCAGACGTCTATGCCTTTCGGTGTAGTTGCGGCCATTGTTGATCCAGTTTATGACTGATTGTAGTTAGTCCGGTGGATCAGCCCAGATTCGAGCCGCTAGGCAACCCCAGATGGCGGAGCTGACGCTGCACTTGAAGAACAAATGAGTGTGAGATTCAGTCTCCAACCCGCACAACACACATGTAGGTGCTACCTACAATCCCCAGCTGCTCAATCTGTCTTTCGTGGGTAGGCGATAGAGTATCGCTTCCCATTGGGCAAAGGATAAACGCGGGATAAAGTGATTGAACCAGACAGCAGAATCCCATTCATTGGGTGAGTCTTTCTGCCTGATTAGGTGCCAGGTTTTCCTCGTGACAAAGCAGTGGTCATATATGTTTTCCTTCTGCTTCCATAGCACTGTGTCCTCTCCTCGTTCCTCGTTTGGGGGTGGGATGGATGATAGCGCTATTTGCAACTCCTGGATTCTATCGCTTCGAGCACCCGACAGCTACCAATTCCCATGTTCTTCTTTGCTCATTCTTGCTATGAAATCTTGGATAAAATCCATTAAAATTTTTGAACTTAAATCGATAAATTTTTTTAAAAACTTTTAATAAATTTATTTTTGGACTCAAAATATATCATTATAATTTTTAAAATATGTCATTATAATTTTTAAATAAGTTTATGGATCAATATATTTTTATTTTGACATCAATTAACAAGTTTAAAAATTATAATATCATATTTTATAATTAAGTTTAAGAATTTTTATCTTTCCAGAGATTTTAGAGAGTAAACATGGAAAAATGTGGAAGTAAAAGCCATAGAGAATTAAGTTTACACAAGCTTATTATTGTCTTCACTCCATTGCCATAAAAATGGAGGAAATCTGCATACATATAGGCAGCTGCTTTGACAAAGATACTGAATTCGCCCGGTTTTTCAGACAACGGTCTCATCCCATCTTCCGGGCAAAGCTTCGGATATCGAATGATGATGCATCAGTGCCCTTTGTTATAACGCCCTGCGTAGATTCACATCCAGAGGTTGAGGACGAGCACATTGATCGGTATTTACTCAAATTCCAGGCAAGTTATTTTTCGAGAAAGAGACCGACCTTTTCCGTGATGATTCCTGAGACGAGTTCAGCTAAGCCGGGTTCCAGACGGAAATCCCCGAGGCTCCAATCCGTTCGCCTAACCCTCCGTGCGTGTTCAGCAACTCCTTTGGGGATCTCTCCTCGATGACGATTTCTTTCCCCGACGAAAGCGATAGATCGATGGAGGTGAGTGGTGCAGCTACGTAAAACGGGATCCCGTGATGTTTCGCGCAGAGGGCGAGACTGTATGTCCCGATTTTGTTAGCGGTGTCGCCTGGAATATGATTGGTACGGTTCAGATTCCGAGAAAACATAAGAAACTAAGCTGAGGGAGAAGATGGATTGAGTACCGTTTGAAGCAACGCGGTCAGCTCCTACGATTACAGCGTCCACACGGCCATCGTTCATCAGTGCAGCCGCAGCTGAATCTGCGATGAGAGTGGCGGGGGGGGTCTCGTGGACCAGCTCGAAAGCCGTAAGCCTGGATCCCTGTCATTGTCAGAAGAGTTTCCGAAAAACGATTATAGTGAATAAAATAGTGAACTTTCCAATTCAACAAACATGAAGGTAGGGGTTTTACTTGATTGAACGGACGGGTTTCCGTGCAGTATGCCCTTTCCAATACTCCCTGCGACTGAAGTGCCCGGATGACACCGAGGGCGGTACCATATCCAGCAGTAGCAAGACTGTCGATAACGGGGAAGAAGCGGGTAATCTTTAACGTAAAACAATAACTATATAAACGCAAGAAAAGTTCCACCATGCTTGTTTATTGATCGAGATGGATATTCCCCATCTTCATCGGAGAAGTTATGGTTACGGATTTGATTACCCCACTTTCCATGAATCGGTTATCGGGGAAAAGGAAAAAGCTCAATCTGAAACAGGCAAGGACGGTGAGAACCCATGTTCGGAAGGATGCCTTCTCTAGCTTTTGTAACACTAAAGCAATTCTCTAACTGATTCATTGCCCTTTGTTCTTCCCCAAAGCCGAATTCTTTTGCATCGATCTGTTATTTCGATAGCGGATTGTGCAAATATTCGCTTGGCGGCATACAAACGACTCACCTGCCAGTGTTGCAATGGGTCAGAACGGAAAGTTTGTCAGAGTTTTTCGCTTGCTGCCTCAGAAAGCTTGACCCGTAAGATCCGATTGCTTTGTTGGAAGCAACGTCCTCTTCAAGCATATTCTCGGCTGCTTCGATATAAGCCTACCGGGAGACGGGAGAGGAGATTAGCATTCGAAAGCAAAGGATCAACTTTAAGCAAATACAAAGCAGAAATGTCGAGGAAAGAACTATATTACCAATCCCTCGAGCAAACAATAACGGGGAATGTCATGTTACCTGGAAAACGGACTTAGGTTCAGAAGCAGCAGCCATGGCTCCCGATATAACTTCTTTGAGTTTTACTGCAGCATCTGCAAGATTCACGGCAGTCGGCCGACTGAAAAAAACACATAGCCATCAAGCAATAACTTTAGAATCTCGACTAAGAATCAGAACGGGATAGAATCCGTCTCTCGAGCCAGAGGCATAATTCACTACTCGATCTCGGGTTTACGAGCTGAAACTTTCTTATGCGGGTGCTGTCAAATTCGGATTAAAACCTCACCCTTTATCGCTTGGGAGCGATTACAACTCACCGAGGCAAGTTCTATCTATCCGCAGCTAAGTATCCGAATTCCCGTACCTCGAAACCAGACAATCCAACTGCTTCCGCAGGAAAGCTGCAGCGTCTTCAGACGTTCCATCGAAGGAATCCATGTTGAAAACCTCGACAGCCAAAGAGAGAGCGGCAGCAATGGCGATAGCAGGTGCACCACGAACTACCATATCTCTTATCGCGTTCCTGGAAACATCAAAGAACAGCTTTGACCCACTCGATCTACACAAATCTATACATGTAAATGAAAAAATGTGATGGTTCTTCTAATTCTGAACCGATCTTTTCCAATTGACGAAATTGGTTTCCTCAACAAAGAGAAAAAAAGGGTAGAAACTTTACCATCCATCTTCGGCACCCAGAATGTCCAAGTAAGTGGTCTCCAGAGGGAGCTTCCTCTGACCGAAATCAAACGATTTTCTCATCAGACAAACAGAGAGTAGAAACGTTTACGCAAACTCGACAACGGAGCAACGAATCGGAACCTATTTTGCTGCATAAGATTTCCACCCAGAAGAGAAATTATTGGAAGAAGACAACATGGTGGAGATAAGAGAACCTGATCGAGCAACTTGAGAGAGCCGCGCTTGTAGCAGATGGACTGGAGAACCTTGTCTCCTTCGGCGGCAGACATGGATGGACGGCGGCGTACCTCGAGAACGACGTCGTTTCAGGGAGTGAGAATCTGATGATCGCTGTTAGCTCTTCCGTAGGAGTAAAAGGAAGAGGAAGAGGAAGAGAATCAAATGCCCTACGAATGACTGCAGCGTGAAATCAGCCGACAGTCGTTTCTCACGCTGGTAACTGCTTTTTCATTTTCTTTTTAATTTTTTCTCCTAAACTATTTATTAAAATATGTTATTCAGAAAATTTCTTAATATTCACGAATTATTCGAAAAAATATTAATTCCTCGTTTGTGTAAGGTATGATACATCGTCAATATGTTATTGATTGTCGAGAAATATTGTTTTTATTTATTTTTTTATTTTTTTTTATCAAAGTATATATATATTTATCTAGGATTTAATTACAAATTCATGTATATATGCCATTTTTTCAAATTTATATGTCATATAAAGCCATAAAAATATCTGTGTATATTTGCACGGGAGGGAAAACAAATATTTCAGTACTATGAACTATCTTATAATTTCATTTATTTTGTTTTTTTTATTTAAAAATATTTTTTTTGGCAGCCAAGAGCAATCCCTTAAAAAATGATTTGAAAAAGGATCTCACTACTCAAACTTAAAAAATTTAATATTTATTTGATAAAATAAAAAATTTAGTTTTTTTGTCAAAATTTGAAAATTCAATATGTTTTTAGAATTTCTCAAAATTTAAATATACATCTAAAAAAATTATACTAAATTTACTAATGTCTTCTATTATAATTTTTTTTGGGTCCGATGATGGTAATCTCAAGCTTTTAGCCTTTTGATGTTTCGTCAAAAATATTTGTATTTGGCAATCAATCTCTTTTTGCTACGAAGCATTTCGGTATTCGTTTTGAGTTCGATTCGATATTTATTCAATTTAGATCATTTAGTTATATATATATATGAATTAGTTATTATTATATTTTATTTAAAACATAAATATTTTCTAAAAAAAAATCGGAATTTTAAAAATTCGTTTCTCGGAAGTGTACCTAATTGCCCACCATAAGTACAAGTTTTTATAATAAGGTTTAGAACGGACTACCAAAATGGAGCGTATCGAATACCAATCACTTTAAATATTAATTTTAATTTAGAGAAATTGGTGATTCTCATGACTACGTGATGTATGAATATTTTGATTAGGATATACAAAATTGAATTTAACTATACAACATATAAACCATCCAGTTTTGAAACCGATTTGTTCGGCATTAAACATGTGGTAATGCAAAATCGAATTTAAAAATAATAAAAGTACTGAATTTTGAAACCGATTTCTACCCCTAATATCCACGACGTTTAATTCTGTGTCATGAATTGGTGGTCTGATCCATAACCAGAGTTCGAATCCTGACAATCACATATTATAAAAAAAAGTTTAATTCTGTAATTAAAACCAAACTTTATTTGATGGAAAATAATTTACTAAAATGTAAATATAAATATATACCAGGGAATAAATAAAAAATGGTAACTTTTAATATAAAAAATCCCAATTTAATTTTTCCCAAAATGAAACGCTTTACAATTCGTTTCCATATAACAAAAGATTGTGATATACATTACTAAAGACGCATAGAATATTTTTAAAAGATTATGACGTTACCACGTAATAATGTAAGAATATTTTTTATATTTCTGATATTAATTATGAGATAACGTTTTATATTTTCACAAAGCAGCTATAAATACGTGGTTACAGTCGACATTTGTTTATATATATAAAATCGGAAGAAAATAATTGTAAAGAATGACGAAATTGAGTGGGATGATCGTGATGGTGTTAGTGATAACGTTTGCCGTTGCTGCGGTGAAAGTCACGGGAGATTCGGAGGCGGAATGCGTGGCGAAATGCACCGTCGCATGCATGCGTTGGGGGAAAATATCGAAGCTGGCTTGTCACGTTTTCTCCATCGGTCGCTGCAGAGGCGTGCCACCTCCTCGCCTTGTGGTAATCCTTTTTTTTTAAAAATAAATTTTTAATTAGAAAAATAGCATTTAAATACTCAAACTTTTATAAAACTGAAATATAAATTTTTTTATAAATACACAATTTTTTAAAATTTTAATAAATTTTTGAAAAAATTTCCAAATAAATACAAATTCGTTAATATCGTATATTTTTATTTAAAAAATATATAAATTTTGGGTTTATTTAATTTTTTAAAAAAATTTAAATGTTTATATAGAATATTTGAAAAGTTTAGGTTTTATAATTTAGATATTTATTTGAGATTTTTATAAAAATTTAGGTATTTATATCCGATTGTGTCAATTTTAATTTATCTTATAAAATGATGTGTTTTTAGAGTTTATGTTTTATGAAAAAAAATAATTCTAAATTGATTTTTGTATTAACACTTGGTTTGGTTTTTTTTTATTTGACAGTGCTGACTAAGTGGGAGGAGGACATACAACGAGAGCTGAATTGATATGATAACATATGACACTATTATTGTCTCTTCATATCATCTTATCGTTACTGTCGGTTTGTTTTTCACAAATTACCAATAATACATAAAAGCGTCTCTAAATAAAGTTATCTTATGTCCTCTCTCTCTATACACACACACACACATATATATATATATATATATTGGTGTGTGGAATGGCTATATATATGATTCTTGTTTTTATAGCCTAATCTCTAATTACCCACAGAAAAATCTGAAATATTTCAAAATAATCATACGTAAAATGAATTCATTAGGGTTAAATCCATATAACTTCGGTTGGGAAGTATATAACTTCTTAATTTTTATTATATATTTTTACAAAGTCATGAAAAAACTGTAAAATGCATGTGATATCAATTAAAAAAAACATAACTTTAGTTAAGATATTTTTGTTGTTCATCAATTTTATCTCTCTCAGAAAGACAAAAAAAAACAAAAACAAAATGATGTGATTCTGTAATCAAAACACGTAGAACATTGTACTTTGTCGGATAATTTAACAAGAGAAGTATCGTTGTATTAACAAAACATAAAAAAGCAAATTTAAACGACATTTGGATAATTATATTAACCCCATTACGATAAATAAACAAAATGAACCGTACAAATACAACATTATTTCATTAGCACGTGGTTAAGTAATAATCCAAATTTAATTTTTCCAATGACTTTGTGCCTAATTCCAAAAATTCCGTGGCACTCTGCATTACACATCACACATGAGTCCACAGAACGAAACTCTAGTGGATCAGGCCCAATCTTCTTTTCTTTTCCAAGCCCAAGCCCAAGACGTAACTTAACCTTAATCCCTTTACTCTTCGTTACGTCCGAGAACATTTCACCAGAAGCTTCTTCTTGCCTCCTCTCTCTGTCTCTTCTTCTTTATGCGTCTTCTTCTTCATGTCACAGTTATCATCTCCCTCACGATACCACAGGCGAAGGATGATGTCATCAGCACGAGTCTAAGACAAAGCAGCTCAACGAATCTCCGGTTCTTCCAGCGATGAGCCGAACCAGCCTGAGTCTGAGCCGATCTCCTTCCTTCGACACGTGAGCGACCTGTTCATCAAGAAAGATAACTGCAGAAGCCGAACTTCGACACACAAAGATAAGTTTTCTTTCTTCCTAATCTTTGATTAGATTCTTCCAGATTTTAGGGTTTTTCTTTGGGATTAGATTTCAGGTTCCGATTAAATACAGAGATGAGTATACGAACACACGCACACACACACTCTAGAACACAGATTTAACGAGTTCAGATTCCCAGTGTGGGAGATCCTACATCTCGGCAGGGACTTTGCCCTAGGTTAATCCACTATTACGTTCTTGCACCATTACAACAGAGGAATATATCATTCTCTCTAATATACAAGCATACACAGAATCGGGATTAGAAACTTAGCTCTTTCCCTTGAGTTTTCCTCCTTTCCGATCACAGAACTTGCCATTCTTATGCATCGAAGCTGATCTCTTCCTCCATTTCTTTTGCAGCTTAGTCAGCCTCCACAGAAGAAAACGAGAAGAAGAATACTCTGCGTGCTCTCTGTGCTGAACTAATGTGTATTCTCGTTCCAAAACCATTTCTGATTTCTCATACCTTTTATAGCAGATTTAGCAGGTAACAACTCTGAGATTCTTTGTTAGTTTGTTATCAACAAACTTTACCCGATTTGTAAACAACCTTCCACGTAGGATTATTCTTTAGCATCGCCAAATCTCATAGTCATTATCCCAACAGAAACAATACGTCTCATGAAATTAAGGCCAATGGGCATTGCAAATTCACAAAACAAAACAAATATTCCGTTCTTTCTCTAATAAAATTTACAACTTATTACTTTAATAACAAAAGAGGATATTATCATAAAAATTTATATTATTTTCATATTTTATTCATTTTCTAAATTGCGTATTATTGGAAAATCTGACTTGGGATTGAGCTTTACGTTTAGGTGAATCCTAAGGGATAATTAAGTTTTCTGCTTTGAAGTGGTTACGTTTGTTCATAAAAAACTAACTCTACTTGATTGGTTATATAATAGCCTGAGCTCAGAGAATGCAGAGGCATGGAAACACGTAATATTCATCTCCAATCTTCTTCTGTGGATGTTGTTTAGCTACAAAGAAGATGAGAATGTCAAATTATGAAAGAAAAGTTAAGTATTTTCTAGATTCTGTGTAATACATGGTGTATGTGTGCGTATAGATTTTGTGTTGTATCCTCTATGTAATCACACAAAGAAACCCTAAAGGATGAGTGGATTGATCTGGGGCAAAGTCCCTGCCGAGATATAGGATTTTTTACACTGGGAATCTGAACTCGTTAATCAACTGTGTCTGAGTGTGTTTATTCTATTTTCAATCCATCATGATTAAACCCAAATTATCTAGCTAAAACCCTAATTGAAAATATCAACATCAAATAGGATTCTTTAGAGGAACTTATCTGTAGAATGCGTTCAATATCTATCGGTATTTTCTTCTTTATGTGTAGGAGACACCGTAGGTGGAGCAGTCGGTGGAAGCCATATATAGCCGTGGACATAGACGTGATCGGTCTGTGTTGATTCGGGGCGCTTCGGTCCATGTCGAAGACGAAGCTGTCTCCGCCGAAGAGAACCTCGACGATGTTGTCCTGGTCATAGAATCCATGTCGAAGACGAAGCTGTCTCCGCCGAAGAGAACCTCGACGATGTTGTCCTGGTCATAGAACATAATAGAGAGGGAAGTAGAAGATGGGGTTTAGTTAGGGTGTCAATCGGGCCGGTCCGACCTGAGTCCGCACTCGGCCCGAAGGTTTCGGATTCGGGTCGGGCCAACCCGATTTTTTTCACGCCTAAAGTCTGACCCTATATATTTCGGGTTCGGATCGGGTCAGGTCGGTCCGCATAATTCCCTTTGTAAATTTTTTTTTCCTTTTTTTAAAATATCGGGCTTTCAAGCCGGCTCAACTCGAATCCGACACCCGATTCGAGTCTACCTTAAAAGTCCGATTTTTTTGGGACCGAAAAAACTTAGATCCGAAGCCTGCTACTTTTCGGGTTGGGCCGGGTCGGGCTCCTATGCCTCGGACCTAAATTGACACCCTAGGTTTAGTATAGGTTGACATGATGTGGGCTTCGTACAATGGGCTTGGAGTAATGGAAAAGATATTGGGCCTGATCCACAACACGTATTATATATATCTACTAGTGTTGAAAAAGGATTTATTAGAACTAATGCAAAGATTTATGAAAGGTTGTGACGTTGTGCATGTTGTTAAAGATGTGTTGGTCGCAAAATTTCTAACAACGTTATGAACTCGTAATGTATCAAAACGGTCCAAGAACTAGTGAACCCGACGATCGGTCGAATATATTTTTAATTTCATTATCGTGTGAAGACTACGTATTTAAATATAAGTTTAAAGCTATAAATAGTGAGATCTTTGGGTTCGATATGTAAAAATCAAAATGAATAGATATGTAATAGTATTGAAAACTTTAAATTCTATGATAAAAACCAAACCACATTTAATGCAAAATAAGAATACAAATCCCGTTCCTTCATTAAATAAATGATTAAACGATGAAACTGTAACGGGCTACTTTTTCAAACAAGATAACTTTTTATCTCTTTAGAGGAATATATTTTTAAATAAAATACGACAATTATTCATTGCATACTCTATATAAAGTATTATAATACAAATCCAAACTTAACTTAGGAGATAAATTATAAATAGGAAATCGACAAAACTGTAATGTAAATTCCCATAGGAAATTACTAATTTTTTTTTTATAAAACGGATCACTTTTCTATACAGGATTTATTTCTATATAGAAAAGATCACATGATTTATTACTATATAGGCAAAGATCATGGGAGTTATCTCCATGTAGAAAAAGATTATCGTATGATTATGTAAATTAACACTTGTATTCTTATGAAATGATTATAAATAAGTGCCCAAAGGTCATGAATTTATAAAAATTAAATTTAAAAAAATGGGGAAATGGAGTGGAGTGATGGCGATGGTGTTGGTGATAGCGTTCGTGACCGGTGGAGGAGAAGTCAACGGAGAGTCAATGTCCGAGTGTGTGAAGAAATGCCACAACTCATGTTTCATCCTGCGAGTCCCGCCGCCGACCTGCGTCACGTGGTGTGCCGATCAGTGCAAAGACAAACCTCCTGCGTCTGGTAATTATTCCTATTTTTTTTTTTTTATAAATTTTATTTTATCTTATAAATAAACATGTGTGTTTAGAGCCAATGTTTTAAATCAAAATTGAAAGTACAAAACCTTTTTTATTCCGTTTATTTTTATTTTACATTTTTAAAAAAAAAAAACTGATTTATCTTTTATAAAATTTATGCCTTTATATAAGGTTGGTGGTTTGACCGGTAAAGAAAGTCCTCCCAACCTAGGTATTCCTGAAAGATTTAGTTTGATTAAAAATTCGGTGAACTTTCTGATTATTAAAAAAAAGTGTTTGTATGTTCGTTTCAAGTTGGGAAAAAAATGTGAATTTTAAATCTTAAAAGTTTGTTTTAAGTCATATCAATTTGATTCATAGTTTTTATCTATCCACCCGCGACCTAGAATTGGAATCTTTAAACAGATTACCTGTTTTTTTTTTTTTTGAGAGTTTAGATTTTGTTTTGTGAAGAGTTTAGTTTTTTTTTTTTGTAAATACCAATTAGAATATCCTTATAGTTTCTCTTTATTTAACAGCGCAAATGGAGGACGTACAAAAAGTGTTGAACTGATAGTCAAATGGCGTGAATTTTATGGTGGCAAAGAGGGGAAGTGCAATAATGATTTGATTTCTTCATCCTTTTTGTTACTATTGATTTGATTTCATAAATAAAATCATCTTCTATTTTATCAGATCCAAATTATATTATATCATGATATATTATATCCCACGATTCTTGTTTTTTTTTCTTTCTAAAAGTCCAAACTGTAATGGTAATTAGGATTAAGTCCAAATAGTTTGGTACTCAATCCACCCAATTAGGACCATAAATTTCCAACCATTGGAAAGTACATGAATTATTCTACTGATTTATTCTATATTTACAAAACCATTGAAAAAAAGATGTAAATACATGTTAATACCATTGTACATAAAGTGCGATATTACATTAGAATTTGGTTAAGAAACTTTATCTTGATCAAACTAAACTGAAACACAAGAACCATGATCATGTATATGTCGACATAAACATATAACAAAACATGACATAAACATATAACAAAACATAATCCAGACAAATGAAAATGTTCCAAAAAATCCATTCTGATTCATATCTTGCAGCCGCCATTTTTACAATTTTTTTTGCAAATTCAGATTTTTTTTGGGGGTTTTCCTCTTTTTTTTTTGTTAATATTAAAATTCTCCAAATCTTTGGTCCGACTACATCTCTTGAAATCAGCCTTTGTATCATAATTAAATTGCACACCTCCTTCTCAACTATTATACGAATATGAGACATATGACAAGGGTGTAACAAACGTTAACAGTGGAACAAGCGTCATGTAGTTGTCACGTCGTCGAAAAGTCCATTGATCACAAGATTGATTCTTGCCTTATTTGTCACCAATAAACTCGGTTGTCATTCGCATTGTGGATACGATGAGTCGTCGTTTGTATATAATTATTTTTCCCTTATATCATGTATCTAACCGATGTAACCAAGAGATGCGATATATGAACATAATTTCTAGCAATTTTCTGTTGTTGATTTCATCTTTTATATTTTTTTGGTCATCTAATAAAATGTGTCTTTAGCATTTGTTTTTCATTGTATAACATGTTATCTGTCACACCCCGATACGGAATGTTGAAACCGTTTTCACAAATCAACACAATACCTTTTAACATATTTTATCTCTATCCGTAAGCTTTCCGTAAAATATTTATCAAAAGGTCACTTACCGTAAATTTATTTTAGATCAAATACGCTTAACTTTAGAATTTTATCGGAATAATCAATGGAAAAAAAACTTTGAATTTAGAAATATATCTTTGTACACATAGATATCATATTATTAGTCAACAATCTTCCTTATGAACAAAATCAGATTATCCAAAAATGCAAATAGAAATATTAGTTAGGGCTGGGCATTTAAACTCGTTACCCGCAGGTAAGCGGGTACCCAATCTCGTGGGTATCCGAAAAACGGGACTCGACACCTAACGAAGACGAAAACGAGTATTAAAAACTAGAATACCTGTCATATTGATTCGGGTTGAGGTTTTACATATTGAAATAACAAGACCTTGAGATGACTTTGTCACCTCTCAGCCATCGGGCCACCAACTATTTGGTTGACAAGTGCGCATCTTATAAAGTCTCGACAGAAATTTGCGAGAGAGTGTGTTCTGATAAAAACAATTGCGGACGCATACCTCCTCCTGCATCTGGTAAATTGTTTTTATTTTTATTATTTGTTTTTTCTAATTTTAATTTATCTAATATATTATTGTTTGGAATTTGAGTTAGTTTTTTTTTAGTGTCTGAAATTCTGGTTTTGATTATGAGTGGGTCATTGATTTTTAATTCTATTTTACTCGGTTTTAGAAAACAAAATTCTAAATCAAATGTGAGAAAACATTTTATTGGGTTTATTTTTATTTTTATTAAGTGTTTTTTTGTTAAAATATTTCTAATTAATTTCTAACTAAAATTATGCATTTGTGATTTGTTCAAATTTGTTTGTATTCGTTTCCATTTCGGTCAAATTTTCTTATAAAAAAACCTTTATCGAAGTCGTCTAAATAATTTTATGTCTGATCATATCGATTTTGTCATTTGTTTTATTTATTCGCCTGTAATCTAGGTTTGACATATATATTTAAACCAAATTATTTATTTTAAAAGTTTTCTTAAATTACCAATAAAAATAATCGTTGTTATTTTTATATTCTCAAAAGTTTATAAATTGACATTATGTTTTGTGTTGTTGAGCATGTGCATATGTATACACAAATAAAATCATGAAATCTTATTTTCTTTATTTATTGTTATTATCGATTTTAGTATGAGAAATTGTGTTCTATTATTTTTTTTTACAGGGCAACTGGAGGACATATATAAAGATTTGAATTGATAACATGTGACATGATTTTCATGGTGACAGGAGGGAATTGCAATATCATCTTTTTGTTACTATCGGTTTCATTTCACAAATTACCAATATATATATATATATATATATATGTTAAGTGTGAATTTTATCTTTTGCACAATTATTATTATTATTATTATTTGGTAACAATCTTCATGGATAGAACAAAATCGGATCATATTGAAAATTAAATAGGAATATTATTTGTTCTATATAAAGAAAGATTTAAGATTGATTCGTTAGTAATTTTCATGACTACGTGTCATCATGTATATGACATGACATGAGTATTTTGATTCGTACATATAAAATTGAAGCTTACTCTATCACATATAACTATCCTATTCAACATTACTGAAAATGCGGTGAATACAAATTCAATGCGAATGTAAAAAAGCAATTAAATTAAAAAATTAAATAAAACAAAAACCACTTTAAAAAAAAAAGATTTTTTTTTAGCTAAAATTAAACTCAATTGCAGCCTGAATAAAACAAGAACCAAAAGAAAACTAATATAAAATCTAATCTGTATAATTTATAAAAAAGAAAATTCGATTTCAAAAGAAACAAACCCAAACCAAACCGAACACAGAAATTTCTATTCCAAATCTCTATTACTTCAAATTCCAAAACAAAAATATATTTAAAATACGAGTAAAACTCTAAATCTTATCCACTCTTTTATAAAAAGAAGAGATTAACGTGCTATTGGCCGAAACAAGGTATAGCAAGATGAAATTAGGAATTAAATAGAGTAACATTTTGGTATATAGGTTACAATATTATGAGTTTTTTTTGGACCCCTATATTCACAAACGAATCTTAACAGTCTAAAATTGGGTAATTAGTGAATAAAATAGGAATCAAACCGGGTTAAATTTCCGATTGTTGCTTGATTGTGGCCGGTTTGCGTGCAAAATTTGGTTTTGCATGAGAATGTCAGTTCGATTCTTTCTTTTTGATTTTGTTTACCTATTGAATTATAGATATTTGCATGTAATAGTAGTCATGCATGGGGACAAGCTCCCACAATTAGGGAATCTAGTCCAAATGTAACGTATTTTGACTTTACTCACTTCTCTCTTTATCTTCTAAGTTGTCAATCGGTTTAGGGATTGGTTTGGTTCGGTTTTTAAACGAAAATGCTACCAAGAATTCGCTTTGTCTAGTCACCCAATCGCCGGTTAGGTTTAATACGGAAATTAACTTTGGTTAAGGGACCCCAATTAGCTTCTTCGTACCTTTTTTGACATTTCTAACCGGTTATTTCTAAACAGAAATGTCGCTAGATCTCTTATCTTATAATCTCCATTACCGATCTTTCAATGTATTTAGATATAATTAAATTTGTTGTATTTATAAGATATCTTTATATAACCCTAATATGTACGGAGCATGAATGTTTTGTATATTTTTTTTTTCCCGTGTTTATGAAGCGTTTTCTTGAAATTTTAATGTTTTTTTTAGCGGTCGATTACAATGCAAAACGTTTTGATAACCGAACGAATGTATTTAGTGATTCCCTTCGAGGAAGAACAAATTTTTTTATAGACCCGATCTAACGATCCAAAATCCGTTATTTCTAGACAGAAGAATCGTCACTTAAAGATGGGATTGTAAGTGCTATTAGTAGAAACAATGTAACTTGTTATGTAATTAAAAGAAAATTATAGAAAATAAAATGATTTTTCATTACACACTCTACCGATTATTTTAATATAACTCAAAATTTAGTTCAATATAATTTTAAGCTGACAAAAAAGTAATGTAAATAGGAAATTACTATTTTTTAAAAACGAATCACTTATCGATTTATTTCTATATAGAAAAGATTATTATATGAATCTGTAAGATAACTCTTATCTTCTTACTAAATAATTATAAATAGATATTCATAGTTTATGACTAACCAGTGTAAAAAGTGATTTGTACGACAATGAATAAGGATGGATATAAAACTCAAATCCAATATAAAATCGTCAAAAAATCAGATGAAATAAAAAAATTTCGAAAAAATATATTATTTTAATGAAAACTTAATCTGAATCTTAAAAGAATTTAAAAGGAATAGAAATCCAATTTAAAAACTAAAAAATTTATAATTTTTTCAATAAAAATATCATATCCCGAAAAAAAAATACTCCATCCGATATAAATATCGTTTTAGATTTTTTTTACAATTTTTAAAAAGACTTAATAAAAAACCATATACCCTTATTAAATTATATCCACATTAATATTCTATTAAAATTTAATATTTTTAATTAAGAATAAAATTAGAATTTTTTATTAAAAATCACCTAGAAAATCTAAAATGACTACTATTTAGAAACAAAAAATAATCTTTAAAACAATATTTATTAAGAAACCGAAGGAGTATTAGGTAAACCACATCCCCAAATGTCAAACCCTAATCTCCACAACTTTAAATTTTGTAATCTAAACTGAATCTTATTTAATGAAAAACAAGAATACAAATCCCGATTTTATGTCCCCTTCTAAAAATTTTATTATTATTCATTAATTAAAGGATGAAAGGATAACTTAATATTTTTTAGAGGAACATTTTCAAAAAAAAAAAACAAAAGATTTTATTATTATTTTTCGAGACAATGTAACTTTATATCTTTTTAGAGGAAAAATAAGATATTATTCTTTACATACTCTATAAAATATTAAAAAAATGTAATGTAAATAGAAAATTACTATTTTTTTTCAAAACGAATCACTTTTCAATTTATTTCTATTTAGAAAATATACGAATCTGCAACATAGCATTTTTGTTTTCTTGCAAAATAACTATAAATAGGCGCTCGTAGTTCACATTTTTATGAAATTTTGACAAGAATTGAGAGAAAATAAAAATGTCGAAATGGAATGGAATAATCGTGATGATGTTAGTGATAATGTTTGCGGTTGGTGGAAAAGTCAACGGAAAGTCAATGCCGGGGTGCATGAGAAAATGCGTGGCTAGGTGCATGTTTTATCAAATCTCGAAAGAAATTTGTCAACTTTTGTGTCGTGATTGCGGCGGACGCAAGCCTCCTCCACCTCCTGCACCTGCACCTGCACCTGAATCCGCATGGTAATTGTTTTTTTTAAATTTTAATTTATGTAATAAAATCAAAATACTATTTGCTTAGATTCAGGATTATGAATTCGAGTTAGTTTTTTTTGTTTTAGTATCTAAATTTCTAGTTTGGATAATGACTGGGTAATTGATTTTGCAATTCTATTTTTTTCGGTTAATATATATATATATATATATATATATACCATAAATTTCCAACCATTGGAAAGTACATGAATTATTCTACTGATTTATTCTATATTTACAAAACCATTGAAAAAAAGATGTAAATACATGTTAATACCATTGTACATAAAGTGCGATATTACATTAGAATTTGGTTAAGAAACTTTATCTTGATCAAACTAAACTGAAACACAAGAACCATGATCATGTATATGTCGACATAAACATATAACAAAACATGACATAAACATATAACAAAACATAATCCAGACAAATGAAAATGTTCCAAAAAATATGCAAATGGATGTGATTTGTTTTTGTTTTTATTTTTATCAAGTGCTGTTTTTTTTTTGTTAAACTATTTCTAAAAACTTCTAACTAAAATTGTGCATTTGTTCAGATTTCGGTCAAATTTTGAGAAAAATTCTTACGAGAAAACTTTTTCCGAAATCGTCTAAATAAATTTCTGTATGATCACATATTAAATTTATTCTTCGTTTTATTTATTCACCCGTAATCTAGGCTTGAAACCTTTAAACCAAATTATTTGTCTTGAAAGTTCTTCTAGAGTTTAGATCTTTTCTTAAATTACCAATCAAAATAATCGTTATATTTGTTTTATATTCTCCAAACTTATAAATCGACATAATGTTTTGTGTTGTCGAGCATGTGTACACACAAATAAAATCATGAAATTTTATTTTCTTTATTTATTATTTGGCAGGCACCTGGAGGACATGTATAAAGATTTGAATTGATAAGATGCAACATGATGTTCCCATGGCTGCAAGAGGGAACACCGCAATGTCCTTGTCTCTTCATCTTTTTATTTCTGATGGTTTCATTTCAAACATTACCGATCTATATTATATCTAAATAAAGTTATTTTATGCTTTCTGCTTATATATTATTGGCGTGTCATATGGTTATATATGATTCTTGTTTTTGCATTCCAAGTTTTAATTAACAATCGAAAATCTAAAATATTTCAAAATATGCTTACGTCGAATGCATTCATTTGGACGAAAACCTTAGATTTTGTTATTCAATCCACACATTACGATCATAAACTCCCTTTGGAAGTACATGACTTCTTGTAGTTTATTTTATTTTTACCAACCATGAAAAAAACTTGTAAAATGCATGTGATCCCCCCCAAGAATTGGTCAGAAAAGTTTTTGTTATTTTATCATTAAAAGCAAAACATATTTTAATATCAGTTTGAAGTTATAAATAGGGTATATAAAATTGAAACAAATAACATCCAAACTCCATGTGATATAAGAATGAATTGGATATACCTTTTTCTAAATTAGGTTTATCTAATTCAAACCGAAAATGAAAGTACCTAAACCAAATAAACATATTTTTTTAATAAATAAACATTTTTTTAAAAGAAAACCAAACATGAAGCAAACTCAAAATCAAATATAAAGACCAAATTGGCAAATTTTCTTTGAGTGATCCCATCTCCATCTTCTATCGACAGGATTTGGGTTTCTTTGACACGATCTTGGTGTCCGAAAAGAAAGATCGAAAACGAATTCGACACAAAATTGAATTCGGCGGGGTTGCGAGATACACAATACGATTGGATTTTTATTCTGGATCTTTATCAGGACCCATGTATACAGTGCAACTCACAGAGATTAGGATGAGCAAACACCCGACCAGCCGTTCAGACAAACCCGACGCCACTTTTCTCGAGCTCACCATCCATAACTGCGACAGAGCGGCCTGTACAGAGATTTACACATTGGTATCTTTAGTAAGGGAGGTGGAGGAGATATTCTATCGACGTCTAGCAAGTCTAAGTTTCACCTCGATGTACAATATGTTCGCAACTTTGCTGATTTTCTCGAGCTGAAGCGCTCGCGCCAAAAGTACCTGAAAGAGTCAGACATCACATCGAGATTCAGCAAGTCTAGAAATTGAGACCCGGGTTTGTGTAGAAATGTCGTCTCGGTCTCACCTCGGCGAAAAAGGCTAGTAACCCTAGGACAGCCACGTTGATGAGCGAGTACAACGCGGGCACTACAACGTTCTGCATCATCAAATTTACGTGCATTGGATGATATGACCAAACAGGAGAGTAAATCCTTGATGAATGATCACTCGGGTTAGTTTCTGTTTCCATAACTTGTTAAAGAATAGTGAACCAACTCCTCCTAAGCTTACCTCGAAGGCAAGCATGCACATTGCTGCAGCAGGACAAGCTACCACACCAAATAAGAGGACAGTGATCCTGGGAATATGTAAACATAAACTTTATCTATTTACTGCCAACCTTTAGATTTTAGCAAGAGAAGCAGAAGATGGGAGCTTAGGACACACATTTGAATATTAAATCTTACAGTGGCTGTTCTGATGCTTTTGCTCCTGCTTTTATGAGACAATAGCTGATTCCTCCCGTTATCGATGAAAATAAACCCATCAACACCGCATAAATATGATGTTCTCCTTTAAAGTTTCCATTGATTCCTTCTGGTTCAACTGCCAAGGGTAGCAAACTGATTAAACATGATGATGGTTATCTTTACTCATTCATATTATAGCGGAATCGATGTTTCATGAGAAGAATCACTATAGAACATGTTCTGTTCTGTTAACTCACTTCCGTACCTTGGACAGTAATCATCGGGCGGAAAATGAAAAGTATGCCAAAGAAACTGCAAACAAGAGCTGGAGCAAAGGGAGGAGACAGTCATAACTTTACTTGCTTTGTTGGTCAATCTGCACAGCAGGAGCTAACATTGGAAAATGAATAGTTCTGCTTACCTCCAATATCAATAATTTTCAACTTCTCACGCAGAATGATACGTGCTGCAATGGAAGCCATAATTGGACTCGCGAAGCTTAGTACAATCGCTTGGGACAAGGGTAACATTCGAATGCTGCGGTGAGAAATGTAAAATCATTGATCAAAAGGGTATAATTCTTGCTTCTGTGCAAATAATAAATAGATCGGTTAAAAAAGGAAAAATTGTGAAAAATAGAAATTTGATACAGATGTATACTGATTTCAAACATTGTATATACCAGCCATTAACACGACAGAACACCTCTGGTGAGAAAAATCAAAACCACACTTGATCATGAAAATTAAGCATAAGAAGACGTAAAGGGGATTGCGAGTATAATTACCTAAAAATGAAACAAAACAATGAAAGATAACCCACGAGGGCTCTTAATATCAAAAGCTTCCTAGCGTGTGAAGGTCCAAAAATTGGTTGACCACTTCTTCTCAACCACAAATACGAAAGTATCAAGATAGTTGTGCATCTCATGAAAGCTGTCTCAAATAAAGGTATTGACTGAACTGCCAATGGAAAAGAAAACCGGAAAAAGAAGATATCAACACACTTAAAACAGAGACACACATGCTAAAAGCAACATTAGAAACATCAACATGTCGAACGAGAACACGGTTAGAACATGCGATAATAACATTCACGAAACTAGCATAGCCTTGATACATCTAAGCAGAGTGACCATTTCAACTAGTGAAGACAAAATTTAGAACACATCAGAACAACTAATCACAATCTTAGACATTCGAATGAAAGAACTGAGGTTCTTCTTCGGCAAATCACATCATCTTGCATATATCAACGGATTTGGGTGAGAAATGAAATTACAAAGAGCAAACAGATTACTAACCAGATAAACCATCTGAAATCAATTCCATCATGAAGTACAATGTTGATGACAAGGCCATGCACAGGAAGCCGGCGTATCTAGAGCCGCTCCATAGCCATGAAAAGAACTGAGCTATATGAAATGACTCCGATTCCGTTACTTTAAGCACTTGCTCCTGCAATCGTTGATCATAGTCTGTATCAGGCTGCTCAATGAACATTCGACACAACTTTTGCACATTAGACAAGAGCCAGAAACCCTAATAGTCTGATCTCAATCCCACCCAAACAACCTAATCACGAGGATTAGCACCAGAACAAGCTGAAATTGAAGCCAGTACGAAACCAAAACAATTCGATGCCGTTCCCATATCTCACACTGGCGAAACATCAACTCTAGCTTGCTCTTTCATCAATTCGAACACGATTACATCCATCACAACACAAGTAAACGAAGAGAGCAGCCAGTTTATCCGATCTTACCCTAGGTTTCCGACGCGAGAAAGAGGCGGAGAATATGTTGATCTTGGGCCGTTCGATCTGGGTGAGTAAAGGCGTGATCTCATCGGAACCTGATGCGGCGTCGGCTGCGGATCCACCGTGGGAAGCCGGAGAAGATGGATCTCGTACGATGAGCTCTAGCGCGTGGTCATCGGTCAAGGTCTCCGTTGACGAAGCCATGGGTACGAACAAAACATCGAAACAGATCAGATGCAGGGATGGTGAATCGTGATGATGATGATGAAGAAGAAGGGACGCCCGCCGTTAGAGACGGCGTCAACTCCGAAAGTGACCAGTAAAGAAAAAGTTAACGGTGACGTCTATTCTTCCGTCCCCGACGTGCACGTGAGTGTTTTGCCCCCTCTTCCAACAGCGTTAGCATCTAACGATATTTATTTACACGTGACATACTTTTAAAATTTAAGGGAAATTATAAATAAAATATTTTTTTTTTCCAATAATGCGACATTACCCAACAAGAGTAATTATACTTTCTAGTGGCTACTTGGGTTTCTGCAAGTGGGTGTAAAGAATTACGACAGCTTGGCCGACAGGGCAACGGTAGCGAGCCGAGTTAGGGTTTCGCACAAGGCAGTGATGACGTGGAAGAACGTCATCGGGAAGAAGCGGTTCAATCGTTTAGGCACAACCCGGTTCCAAAGATCCAAGGTGGAAGAGTAGGAAAGTCTCCGACCCGTGGGAGCTAAAGGGTTCTTGATAAGCTTGCGTTTGTGTGGCTGAAACAAGAGAAACATAAGCAAAGTCGCGGTCCTCTTCTACTCTCAGACCATTACCGAGCTCTGCAAATCGATGGGAGCAGAGGCGAAACGGAGACAAGGGCTGATTCGGCTGGCCAAGAAGAACGGGGAGAGGCTTGGGTTCCTCGCGTGAGAGCATGACCCTTCCGCAGACAGAACCTGAGCTAGCAGTAGCTCTGCAACGTGCTCTTTCAATATCTATATTTACAGTTGTTCACTTTCATTCAAGGACACAGAAATAATGAAAGAATCGCTGAATTGAATTCTTGTGATAATTGATATCTTTGACAAAAAAAAAATCCCTCACTGGGAAGGCTCTTGTCAGAGTGGAACAAAACAGTACAGTTGTACAATCAACCAACTGCCGGGAAAAACATGTTTCATCCATTTGGTTCCCAAAACCACACAGCATAGTTGTGCATATGTTTTCCTTGAAAGCAACCTCGTATCTAGTACTGAATAAGAGTATTGGGGCAACAAGTCTTCAGATAGTGTACCGACTTCTTGCCGACCTTTCCTTTCTAGAATCATCCTGAAATTCAGACAAGAACATGACAAAAAAAAATGATGAGTTGTGTGTAAGGAGAGATATCGACAAAGAAGATTCGACTGTTTTCATGGCGAAGAAATTACATGGTAGCTGTAAGTTATCTTGTCAGTGACGTCGAGTATCTCCTTCCACTTCTTCCAACGCTCATCTTTGTATTCCACAAGACAATCACGCGAATTTGCGAAATTCAGGTAACATAGAGTAAAGATTTGGCGAGTTAATCAGCAAACCCTTCTCCCGAAATCGTCTAGACTCGGTACAACTTGATAAATTCCTCCATGTGGACAAGATGTGGAGGTGGAGAAAATAGGGGTGGGCACGGGTCGGCTACCCCCAATTTTTAGAAAACCCTGTCTCGTCTTCATTACCACGGGTTTTACAAAAATATTATCTCAGTCTTAGCTTCATAAAATCCAGGTACTTTAACTCGGGTTTAATGAGATTCTCGGTCTTGTACTCGCGGGTACCCGAACCCATACGATTGATAAAATTTTGAACTATAAAATGATAGATATATAAAATACAAATGAGAGAGGTCAAAGTATAAAGAGAAAAATTCACAATGAAGAGAGATGAGTAAAATTTTGAGAGAGAGGTAAATGGTTGATTCGGTTATATAGAATGAGATTTGGAACGGTGAAATTTTTGTATAGAAAGGTTTAGAACATAAAAAAATTGAACTAAAATAAAAGTATTTTAATAAATAATAAAAATAATTTAGACAAAAATATTATAGATATAACGTATATTTTAGATTTTTAACAAATATACCGGGTACCCCGGGTACCTCTTGTAATATAATTGAACCCCCACTCAGACTCGGGGGTCGAAAACTTAGTCTTATTAATACTCGATCTCATCATTGTTAATATTCGGGTACCCTTTATTCGGGTACTTGTTAAACCGGGTACCTCCAAACCCCCGGATTACGGGTTAAAACGCCCACCCCTAGGAGAAAATGTTCTTCAAAATTAGACACCTCCATTTGACAACCTAAACCACCATTTTTGAAGCCACCATCTTTAAAATCATTTTGTTTGAAAATTGCAGCCATTTCTATTGAAGAAATTGGTGCTAGAACCTTTATAAGTAGAGAGGTTTGGGCTTGTGAATGAATCACATCAACAACAAGGAGAAACACAAAAGAGAAAGAGAGAAAGGGAGAAGGAGAGTGAAAAACAGTTTTGAGCGGTTTTAATCAAGTGATCGATCGGATATCGATCTCTTATCTGATCGATCTGAAATTTTGTGGAGAGATTCTACAGTCTTGGTTCCTGATTTTGACCGGTTGGATTTTGATTTCAACAGTTAGAATTGAAGAAAAGGATGTTTTACCGAAACTGTTCGACCAGGGGTTTCAAACCGCAATAGGTCTGATTGCTGTGAAAATCAAACGGTGGATTCTTCTCTACTCGAGGTGAAATTTGGTATGCTCGTTCTAGATCCTTTGTTATTTGATTTGTACGGTGGGATTTTGCATTGTTTGTCGAAATCAAAACCTACGTGGTTGACTTGCTACATAAGTTACAACTAGTTAAGTTGTGTTATCTTGGAATATTGAGATTATAATATTGACGTGTATATTCTATAACCCTGGGGTTATTGTGTGGACGTTGTAATCAAGTTACAGTGAATTTTTTGGTGGACTACGGTCCCGTGGTTTTTACTCCCACACCAAGGGGATTTTCCACATTAAAAATTATTGTCTGGTTTGATTTCGATATCGTTGCACTAGATATTGTCATCCTCGCACGTTTACACAAGTACGGGGTTTGGTTACTGATTCGTGATATATGATCAAAATAACATAAAATTCCCGACACAACTATCTATTAAAATTTTCTAAAATACGCTCAGATATCAACAGACTTTCATCATGTGCAGACATTAGATCATGTGATAGCAAAACCGAAATCATAAACGATCGGTTTATCAATCCAAATTAAACGATGTTTCGGTAAAATTCCAAACAATTGATTTTCATTCGAGTGAATGTGCCACTACCCGAAATTGAACCCACACTCTAGCATATTAACTAGAAAGAGACTTTAGTTCAATCTTAGAGAATAAGAATTCTTCATTCTTATAATTCTTCTTCTCTAAAAGTTAACAAAAAGAGGGGGAGTACCGTTTTTCGTCCATCTAATTTCCGATTCAAAACCAATCGTTGCCGAAGATAAATTTTTATTTATCTAAACACTTTTCTCCACGTTTAAATTTAACCTCTCGTATATTTTTCATGTTTTCTGTAATTCAAATTTTACTCCTAAGCATTTGTTTTCTCTAACAAAGGTTTCACTCATACATTTCGATTTTTTCAACTAGAAAAAAATATATAAAGATAATATAAAAGCATTTATATGTATAGAGAGAGACTTTGTTTCTAATTAAAATATTTTTTTTTTTGATAAAATGTGATTTGTCAATGGTGAGATTCAAATCTGGGTGGAGCACTTTTTGCGTATATGCATTTACCAGTTGAGCCAACCACTCTTGGCCTAATTAAAATATCAAACATAATCCAATTTAAAATAAAAAAATATTAGCTAAAATATAATAATATGTACGAGCAAATCATTAACTAATGCCATCTAACGATAATATCGAGTTTTTGCCGCAACTAAACGCCAAAAACATCGCTCACGCACTTCTAATAATACTATCTTTTTTTTTTGTTAAAACTAATCTAAGGTGGTGACAGACTTTTTCAGATTTATTATAAGCTTTGTCTCCCTAAATGTTGGTTTGTTTAATTATATCTGTAATTAATTACAACTTGAGATTAGTACAGATCTGTACTTAAATAATGTGATCAAACGAACATCATTTCAACCCCGATCCAACAACTTACCTTTAAAAATTTCCACTTATATATATATATATATATATATTATTAAACATACGTTAATATAAATTTACGTTTCCTAGTTTTAATAACGATACCTAACAAATCTCCTATTTATAAGGTAATAAAACGGTTGATGAGTTGTTATCATAATTCTTATAGTTATACTTAAATATAAAGAACACATGCTTTTGAATTTTTATTCATGGAACTATAATATATATATATATATATATATATATATATATATATATCATTAAAATGAAAACTCTACACATCAAAATCGACCCCATGTTGTCAATAATATCACTAAATATCTAACCGAATTTTTCGTGCAACAAATATTCTCGATTAAATACGAATACAATACTATATAACAGCATAAACAATCCTCATAGAAATAAATAACTATAGATTAATCTGCAATAATTTTTCAACGATTTTAAACATAAAAAAAAGTTGTAAACTCGTTTCGTTTGCGTGATCGTTGTTCTTTAAAACAACTTCACCATAAAAGATTTTAATTTTATAATTCGTTTGTTTTTTTTGAAGTAATCGTTGATTTGTTTACAAAAATAGAATTGGAGAGGGGCAAAGAGATCGGGAATATTGCTCAAATAACCCACTTGGATCGCAGCAATTTCAGTGTACACCACCGAAAAAAAAAAAAAAATTTGCGACCTTATTACGACTAATATATAACTAATATACAACTTATTACGACTAATAAACTACTCTCATTTTAGTTGTATATTAGTTATATATTAGTCGTAATAAGGTCGCAATTTTTTTTTTTTTTTCGGTGGTATACCCTGAAATTGCTGCGACCCAAGTGGGTTATTAGGGTTAAAACCCCAAAGAGATCTTATCTACATAAAGGAATAAAAATTATTGTCCATGAAAATAAAAAGAACCATATAACAAAATTTGCGCCACTCATAACGCACCCCTATCTCTTCGGCAAAAGCCACTTCACAAAATCTCTTGCACAAACACAAAAACACCCAATTTTATATATATATTTTTTTCTATATATATATATATATATTTTTTTTTTATTTATAAAGTTCTCTCCTTCATATTGTCAACTCTTCTTGCCATTTGTCTCAACATCACCCTTGCTCTCTTCTTCTTCTCTGTTTTCCAGGTACCCTCCTCTTTTTTCCCCGACACGAATCCCCTGTTTTTTTTTTCTTTGTTCTGTCTCTCTTGTTCACCGATATTTATGGAAGTGTTAACTAATGTCTGGCTGTGGGGGCAGAATCTGTATCAATGTCGGGTTTCTCTTGGATTTTCTGTTTTCTGATTCTATGATTCGGTTTCGTGGTTAAGGATTGTTTCTCGGCTTCTGGGTTTGGTTTAAACCCTTTTTCGGTTTCTGGGTTTGGTTTGTGTGGTCAAATGGCTAATTAATGGCTTAAACCCTATTTTATTTGGCGATAGAAAGTTAAAGACTGTCGCTTTTGAAGTCAAAATCGCGTAGTCTCAAAAGCTTGATTCCCGTAGATCACAGGTCCGCGCCGACAATACAGAATCCACTCCCATTCCTTTGTGAATTCACTCACTTTTGATTACTTTTATATCTTTCCTGTGGATGGATCTGCTTGGCTTTTTGCCCATAATTTAATTGTGTTTAATCACTTTCTAATCGCCTTTTCAGAGTGGAATCAGTATAATTTAATCCGGTTAGCCTAAAGCGTGTCAAGAATCTGGGTCCTACAAAACACTGATTCTGTACAAAGTATGGCTTAGAAAGGCTGATCTGTAATCTTGTGGGGGGAAAAGGTGGAATCTTGCTCAATCACAGGGATGAACTTTGGATTATATTGTTGAAATCTCTGCGTAAATCCCCATTTTTTACTCTGATTCGATCACACCAGCATTAACAGTTTACTTTGATTACGTACAAAGTATGGGTTAAAAGGGCTGATCTGTAATCTTGTGTGAGAAAAAGTTGGGATCTTGCTCAATCACAAGGATGAACTTTGGATTATATTTGTTGAAATCTCTGCATAAAACCCCAGTTTTTGCTTTGGTTTGATACTAAACTGTCATCAGCCATAACAGTTTACTTTGATTCTGTACAAAGTATGGGTTAAAAAGGCTGATCTGTAATCTTGTGTGATCTTTGCTCAATCACAAGGATGAAGTTCGAACTATATTGTTTTAAATCTCTTCGTAAAAAAACCATTTTCTTTACTTTGATTTGATGACATATTCTCATCAGCCGTAACAGTTTTGTTCAGGGCTTGAGGCAAAAGATGGCACAGATCTTGGCACCTTCTCCAAAATGCCAGATGGGGGCGCCAAAGCACTCCTTCATCACGAGCCCTGCAGCTTCGTCGAGGCTTTGGAGCTCTGTCGTGTTGAAACAGAACAAGCAGAGTGGCAAACTAAAGTATTCTTCCAAGTTCAGAGTTTTGGCTGTCCAATCAGACGACAGCACTGTCAACAGGCTTGAGGGTCTCCTCAACTTAGACACCAAACCTTACACTGACAAGATCATTGCCGAGTACATTTGGTATGCCGTTTTTCGTTTTTCTGATTGCTTTCAAGTTATGGGTATGCAGCAAATGTTCACAAGTTTGATCTGTTTTCAATAGGATTGGAGGATCTGGAATCGACCTGCGAAGCAAATCAAGGGTAAGATAGTGTAGTGAATGTTTGTATTCATCTTACCGATGGCGCTGACTTTCTTCTTCTGAAAATTTCAGACAATTGAAAAGCCTGTTGAACATCCTTCTGAGCTTCCCAAGTGGAACTATGATGGTTCGAGTACTGGACAAGCGCCTGGTGAAGACAGTGAAGTCATTCTATAGTAAGATTCTCTAAAGGACCGACCACTTTCTCGTTCTCACTCCTTCAATATCCTTTCGCTTATTTGCAAATCCATTGTCTTTTCCAGTCCACAGGCTATCTTCAGAGATCCTTTCCGTGGGGGCAACAACATCTTGGTACAATGTTATTAACTTCAGTTGCTATAAGCTGTTATGTTTTGTGGTCACGCTGTTTGTTGAACTTTGTAAGAAAAACCCATTCCATGTTGAAGGTTATATGTGACTGTTACACACCGGCTGGTGAGCCCATTCCCACGAACAAACGTGCCCGAGCTGCTGAGATCTTCGGTGACAAGAAGGTCGTAGGTGAAATCCCGTGGTCCGTCTTTGCCCCTAATCTCTCCCTAGCACGTCTCCTCAAACCCTTTTGGACGAAATTTTTACAGCTAAATTTCGGATTACGCCTCATTTCTTAGGTTTGGCATTGAGCAAGAATACACCTTGCTTCAACAAAATGTCAAGTGGCCTTTGGGTTGGCCTGTTGGAGCTTTTCCTGGTCCACAGGTGTGATAATCATATCAAGTAATGTTACCTCATTGTATATATATATGGTAAGAGAATCTATCAACGAGATTTACCGAGTTTTTCTCTCTTCGTGTTAGGGTCCATACTACTGCGGAGTTGGAGCCGACAAGTCTTGGGGCCGTGACATTTCGGATGCTCACTACAAAGCTTGCTTATATGCCGGAATTAACATTAGTGGTACCAACGGGGAAGTTATGCCGGGACAGGTCTCTTTTTTTCCGCTATTTTTTCCCGTTCACACTTCGAGAATATATTCATTTTCGGGTCTTCGGTATATAGGTTTTATAAGTCATATTCGTTTGGTATTATACTCGTGTTCTGCAGTGGGAATTTCAAGTTGGCCCGAGCGTTGGCATTGAAGCTGGCGATCATATCTGGTGTGCTAGATACCTTCTTGAGGTAATCAACTCTCTTGTATTTGTTTCCGAAAACAAAAACTTAACTCACTGAGCTGTCTCATCTCGTTCGAGGAAAGAAACTTCGAGTCAGACCCGGAGTAGGGTTTTCCGTAGTTTTGTTTTGCTTGGTTTCTTAAGGACTTGGTCACTAGAACGCTACCCGGGCGAAACCCTTCCCCATAATTGCATTTTTTTGTCTGTAACTTTTGCAGAGAATCACTGAACAAGCTGGTGTAGTCCTCACGCTTGACCCGAAGCCGATAGAGGTGATTTACAGTTATAAACTTTTCTCTCAGGAAAACGAATTTAACGCTTCTCGGGTATTTCGTCAATGTATCTGCACGTAATGTTCATCTTCTGCATACTCCAGGGCGACTGGAACGGCGCTGGATGCCATACCAACTACAGGTAACACAAATCTTGCAACTCTCGGTCGATGATGTCGAAGGGTATACAGATCGTATGTACGTAACGGTTTTTTTGTTTACAGTACGAAGAGCATGAGAGAGGACGGAGGGTACGAAGTGATCAAGAAGGCGATACTGAATCTCTCGCTTCGCCACAAGGAACATATCAGCGCGTACGGAGAAGGGAACGAGAGAAGGTTGACGGGAAAACACGAGACAGCTAGTATCGATACGTTCTCATGGGTAATGAATGAATATATGAGCTCGGAATTTCGCATTACGTTCTTTTTTTGTAATCTATGGCTCGTTGTTTCACGCTTTTATCTTGCAGGGAGTGGCAAACCGTGGATGCTCGATTCGTGTGGGACGTGACACCGAAAAGAAAGGGAAAGGTACTAACTTTCTAGCTCACGATAACCGGAATCTCTACCCGAAACGATCGTACAAAAGCCTCGAAACTGATGACCCGTCGGTCAAACTTTACGTTCAAACTCGATTTATCGATCCTAAACGATCATACAAAAAAGCCTTGAAACCGATGATGACCCGTCGGAACTATAAGCCTTTAGGATCATCTCTGATATGAGTCCGAGATCGATGTTAACGATGTTTTTTCCGCCTGTGTCGGCCTGTGGACAGGTTACTTGGAGGATCGGCGTCCGGCCTCGAACATGGATCCATACGTTGTGACCTCGCTCTTGGCCGAGACGACACTCCTGTGGGAGCCAACGCTCGAGGCTGAAGCTCTTGCTGCTCAGAAGCTTGCCTTGAATGTCTAGAAAACCATCATCATCATCATCATCATCATCGTTTTTTTTTTCAAGTTCTATGCAAGAATTCTGTGCAAGTAAAGGTCCTGAATCGGTGAACCCATGATCCATTCCATGTGGTTTGTCATGTTCAGAATCATGTCGTGTCTGAAAAGAATTTGCTCTGCAGATTTTTTTTTTTGGGCTTTTCTTCCTCAATTGTCGAACTGAAACCCGTTTGGCCTTGGAACTTTTAACATGTTTTTTTCCCATCTTCACTGTTTTCCGAATGTGTTTTCCACCATTAAAACCAGACACAAGCCTTATGTTCATGAGGGTTACGTGTGTTTTACGAAAGCCAGACCGAAGACGACTGTTTCGTTAGTTAATAACAGTATTTGTAATAATTATATTGGATGATGAGGAAAACATACAACGATCACACTAGACAGTCCCTGTGGTGGACATGGATGAGAGCAAGCATGACCATACCATACCATAACCATGCACATCAACCTTATTGTAGGTTTTACTTACTATACACTGATACTCCCCATCTGTATGTCATCATAAATATCATATTATTGTGGGACCTACACTCTTCGCCGTCTCCGGAGGAAGCCTACACTCCTCCGCCTCCGCCGCCACCCCCTCCGCCCTTTCCTCCTCCTTTGCCGCCACCTTTTCCGCCTTGGCCGCCTCCACCTTTGCCGCCACCTTTTCCACCTTGGCCGCCGCCTCCTTTGCCACCGCCTTTGCCGCCACCTTGACCGCCGCCTTTGCCTCCCCCTTTGCCGATGCCTTGACCGCCGACTTTGCCTCTGCCTCCGCCCTGGTCAAGGTCATATTTGGTCTCATCCACATTTTGGGTGGTGGCATCGAGTCCACCTCCTCCTCCTCCTCGACCACCGCCTCCGCCTCCACGTCCTCCGCCGCCGCCTCTACCTCCGCCTCCGTGTCCTCCGCCTCCATATCCGCCTCCATGACCGCCTCCATGGCCGCCTCCATGACCGCCTCCATGGCCGCCTCCATGGCCTCCGCCTCCATGGCCATCGATGTCATATTTAACCTCATCGACTCCTCCTTCCGACTCTTTCTCTCCGGCGTAGGCACAACACCTCACGCACCCATATCTTCCCATATAACAACATCCATACTTGCAGTACAGCTTCGACTCCTCCTCTCCTTGCTTCGCCTCCACTGCCATAAACAATCCAAAACTTGATTAAACACGATCAAATTCCAACTCTTAAATCATCCAAAAAAAAGAAAAAAAAAATAATACGACTCAAGAACTCCGTATCAAATCATTCTACTGACGTTCTTTCTTGTTGTCGGCGGCGGAAACATCCGCTGCAACAGCGGCCACAACCGCAAACAGAAGACCGCAGATTATGAACACCCTCATCTTTTATCTTCTTGCAATTACACTACGAAGATTGCGTTATATATATGTATATATGTATGGAAAAGATCTTCTCTACCGCTGTTGGTCCTTTTGCTTTATATAACTCACTAACACAGTCAAGATTACGATAAATTCTGTCAAACAAAGCGGTGGATACGACAAAAAAAGATCTTACTTGGCAACACAGATTTCGTCTATGAGCTTTGTATAAGTGTCTGAAGCCGACGCGTAGGATTCGTGATTGCCACGTACAAGGTTTTGCGCCATCGTATGCTGCCAACTGGCTTTGTGTAGAGCTATTCTGTGTCCTAAATCTTTTCCTTTTTTCTTTTTATCAAGAAAAAATTCCATAAAAAACACTTAACTTTTCAATTTTGACAAAAAAACACCAAATTTTATTTTTTATCAAATAAACATTAAAATTTTTAAACAAATCTAAAAAAACACTAAACTTTTTAAGTGGTTCAAAAAATACATCAACTTTTCTACGATTATAAAAAAAATATTAAATTTTTTTAGTGATCCAAAAAAATACATAAACTTTTTTCGATTGTAAAAAAAAAACAAAGTAAAATAATCTGACGTGTTTGCATCTCGTTGTGCCACATCAGTTATTTTGTTTATTTTGACAATAGTAAAAGATTTAAGTGTTTCTTTTGTCAAGCTTAAAAAATTTAATATTTATTTGATAAAATAAAAAGTTTATAGTTTTTTTGTCAAAATTTGAAAGTTTAGTGTTTTTTTTTTGGGATTTTCCCTTTTATTAATTATAGATTGTATATTTACTTATTTATCGTTGAAAATAACTCCAAAACAATTACAGTATAAACAAGAATTATCAGTATAACTTTGTGCTTAATAAATTTTGGGTGCTCATTTTTTTCCACATATTTGTAGAACCAGACAATCATTCTTAAAGTGATCAGACTCATGTTGAACAAGCCCAAGTTGCAACCAACGATCACACACACTCACGGACTGGATCATGGAGCAATGGATGAATGGTTCAGCCCATGGTTTGATATTGGGCTGAATATGCCGTTAGATGATTGAAGGAATTAAAGGAGAACAAATTGTCAAAATCATATCTGCATAGTTTTGAACTTGTACATTTTGATGTTTGGACGACTCCATGTTTATCTCGGGAAAAAAATTAAATATTTTGTTTCATTCATAGATGAAAAGTCTAAGTATATTTGGATCACTTTACTTGGTTCAAAAAATGAGGTGTTTAAGACATTCCAAAATTTTTATGCCTATGTTACTAATCATTACAATAAAAGTATCAAATTTCTTAGAACAGATAATGGTGGTGAATACAAGAGCAAGGCCTTTACAAACTATCTTCAACAACACGACATTGTTCATCAAACCTCGTATGCATACACATTGCAACAAAACGGCGTCGCAGAACGCAAGAATCGTCACCTCTTAGAAGTTGCTCGAACATTGATATTTTATCGTAATGTGCCTTTAAAATTCTGGGGTGATGCGGTTATCACAGTGGCATTCTTGATCAATCGTCTTCCGACGAAAGTTCTACATGATAAGACTCCTTTCGAGGTACTCAACCACACTACCGCTCCTCTTGCATATTTACGTGTCTTTGGTTGTGTTTGTTTTGCGAAGGTACCCGAAAACAAGAGACATAAACTTCAACCGAAGAGCAACAAATGCATCTTTATCGATTACTCTTCTGGACAAAAGGGATATAAATGTTATGACCCGATACAAGATAAAATTCAAGTGTCTCGCGACGTGATTTTTCATGAGGACCGAAGCTACTATGACCAACAGCCCACATCGGCTTTGGATCCTATGCTCATTGTCCCTGCTGATTATCAGACCACACTCTCTCGCCTTTTACGTCTTGCCCATGACTACAATTCGGTCAATCACGATTCCCGCTTTCAACCTGATTCTCCTGGCTCTGGTAATTTCATTCCATCTCACTCTGTTTTTCCATATCAATCAGATTATGGGTTGTCGCGTCCTCTGTCTGCGCAGGAACATGTCGATAGCTCCACTGCAGATAATTCTGCATCATCGTCTTCGTCTTTGGAACCCACTGCCGAAATACATGTCGCACCAACAGCCGCAATCATCTCCAGGGGGAACACCACTGACACCGACACGATCATGGAAAACCTAGAATCGGCTTCCCCTGGTTCGGTGGATCCTCCTCGTGGCAGCATCATCGCACCTGATGGTGTTCGTCGCAGCACACGTATTCAGGAAAGGCTCGAAAATAAGGCCAGAGCAACCACTGCCATGCACCACGTGTCTTGTGGTACTCAGGTTCTATATCCTATACAGGATTTTTGTTCTTTCTCTCACTTGAAATCTGATGAATTTGTTTTTTTAAGCAAGTTGGATGAACACAGTGAACCCAGATCATATCGACAAGCCAAAGACATACAGGTTTGGCAACATGCGATGAAAGATGAATTGGAGGCGTTGGAGAGGAATAAGACGTGGACGATTATTGATCAGCCCTTAACACACATGCCATCGGGAGTAAATGGGCTTATAAAATAAAGTATCGTAGTAATGGTGATATCGAACGTCACAAAGCTCGACTTGTGGCCCAAGGCTACACTCAAACCTACGGAGAAGACTATACCGAAACATTTGCTCCGGTAGCGAAATTACCGACGGTTCGCGTTCTTTATCTATTGCTACTAACTTTGGATGGTGTTTGTGGCAGATGGATGTTAAAAATGCATTCCTTCAAGGGGACTTGGACGAAGAAATATATATGATTCCTCCCCCGGGGTATCGTGAAAAGCTAGGCCCCAATAAAGTCTGTAAGCTTCAAAAGTCTTTGTACGGCCTACTACAGTCGCCTCGTGTGTGGTACTCTAAGCTCCACACGGCCCTTCTCACACAAAGCTTCTCTCGCAGCGAGTCTGATCATTCCTTGTTCATCAAGAAAACGACATCTGGTATTATCGTTCTACTTATATATGTTGATGACATCATTATTAGCAGGAA